TAATCACACACCATTGATAGCTCCCACATCAACCTCAAATGTGAAAAAGCCAACAAGCCAATCACACAATTCAATGGCTCCAACCATTGTCCTCAGTGTGATTCTCAGTATCAGTAGAGTGGACACTACATGTCACCACGTACACATAATATGTGTACGGCTCTACTATGCCTATGACCGTTTATCAACCTTCCTTTGGCGAACAAGCAAAACCGTCATTTTAATTCGACCCATCACCATTAAGGAAAACTCCAATGAATTTTAACCTCCCACTGGTAGAAGTGTACCCTTCGCTTTGGCGAACAAGGTTTCGACGACAGTGGTTTGATTAAAACCATGGTGATGGAAGCAGAGGTGACTTAATATACTTAGTTTGAGGGGTTTGTTATTTATGTCTCATCAGATTATTATCTTTGTTAGAATGACATTGTTTGGCATGTTTATCAACATTCACCTTAGCATGCATTCTAACAAAATATTAAACGTGCCGGTACATGGCCTAACTAAAACCGATCTCCTCGAGCCTAGGATCGGTGGGTCACCTGGGATCCTGTAACAATATCTTGAGTCTTCAAGTATGGTTGCCTCGTCCTTCGCTCCGTCTCCAGTCACTTACAAAAACATCATTCTAAATTTACAATAAAATTAATATTAAACTAATTTTACATCAACAATTTAGAAACCGATTTACATTCGAGGGAATGAATGAGAAAGAATGTACATTAAGAAGAGAGAGAAGGCAGGACACGCAGGCCCTATTTAAAATATTACAGCCATACACCCAAAATAATTTAAAACATTCACCCTTAGGTCTAAGGCTCATGTACCGCGCACCATGCAATATCACACAAGTACAAAGCATACATTTCAAAAACAATCAATTTTGAATTGGGTGGGTTAATTAATTAATTACCCTCTTAAATGTGCAGAATGTACATTGGCTTTATAGGTTATTAAAACTGCAGATTAGTCCCTTTCAGAAAAAAAATACAGAATGGAAAACTAACCTCCTCGCCGCGGCGAAGGTTTTATCTTCGCCGCGGCGAGGATTTACATATGCATTTCGCTCGGGCATACTCGCCGCGGCGAAGGTTTTATCTTCGCCGCGGCGAGGATTTAAATTAGGTCTAGCCGCCCAGATTTCGCGCGCGCGAAGGTTTTATCTTCGCCGCGGCAAACTGTCCAGAGGCTCCTCGCCGCGGCGAAGCTAAAGCTTCGCCGCGGCGAAACCTGGAAATCCCCAATTCCTACAGTTCGCGTTTTGCAGTTTTTTGTGTATAAACACAATCCAAATCAAATCAAACGCACACCGTTCAACCAGGATATTAACCAACCATATAACATTCATCAACACATTTTAAACCAGTTTATCATTTGAATCATTCATGCATAACTGATTTTTCAGATTTACAGATTTTTCAAAAACTGGGTTTTTCATGGCAGATTCATCAAGGCAGCATGTTATCAACAAATACATGTATCACATTCAATAACTGTAAATCTAGTACCAAGCTCTGATACCACTGTAGAAACACCGGTTGCGCAGCGGAAAACAAAAATTTTACAAATACGGATCGTTCCTTAAACCCAAAATCAGGGCATAGATTTTACAGTTTATGCATAATATGAATCTGCAGAAAAATAATCCAAAGTTTAGATTTATACCCACGTTTGGAGGCTCCACCAATGTTGTCTCTGAATGTGTGGCTACCGATCTAAGTGTAGGATCGAACCAAGAAGTCCACACGAAGACAACCACCAGAACCAAGGAGGGATTTGCTAGATCCTCCTTGGCCTTAAGAAATCAAGAAGAAGATCAGTATTATTTTTTCAATCAAACAGTGAGATTGGCTGAGAGAGTGTATAGGGGCTGCTGTGTTTTCTTTTAAAAATTAGAATAATCACACACTATTCTTTTTATAGGCAAACCAAGTTGCCCTATTCCCATGGAATGGGCTTGGGCTCCAACCCAAACACCCCATGTTCCAACACTCCCAATTGATATTTTAATTTAATTCATCATTATCTTAATTAATCAATTATATTAATTAACATTTACAATAATGATGATTTAATTAAATATGTGCGAACACCATTAAACCGTAATTTCACTTATTTAATTTTTTACAAATTAAATAATGGCTACGACCTCAGCAAATTTAATTGCACTGTGAAATTACCAAATACCCTTTTGCCTAAAAAGACGAAAACGCCCTTCTTCTTCTTGGCTCTTAAATTATCTTCTATGTGTGTACCCATAGGCTCCTCATCATACCGGTAGTGTATAGTATCGCGTTAACCCAATTAATCGTCTCACTAATACACAGACCAAGATTGGCCCCTAGCAACATCATGGCCACCCGATGATTCGGATTCAGCAAAGTAGCTACCTTTCAACGATATGGTTACCGTACATACGATCCTTTCATCATCGTTATCTCGACGGACGAAGGCATAGAAATAGTGTCAACCTTCGGTTACTCTCGATTATATATTCAGTTTCTGGACCAATGACCCTATTATAATCTGGATAGAGCAACAACCAATCCCACTGTGGCCACAGTTTTAGTGCATTGCCATATACTGATTGCGCCGTGAGATAACTTCTCCCGTACCCGGGAGTGATGAATCCTTTGTCAATCCACCATAGTCTTGATACACTTCTTGATATGCCAATCACCACCGTACTGACAGCTCTGAATGAACTGCGTTAGGCTAGTGTCAAACTGTACCAGTCGGTGCACAAGGCACTCCGTGACCTCAAGTCTAAGGATCACATGCACCACCATTCGTTAGAGGATTTGTTCCATAGACACTGGTTTACCATCCATATGAATCCTCTGGTGGGTCATCCAGTGAACTTGCTGCGGTATATCCGCCTACACAAGCACCCATGTGTTTGCACCAGTTGTTCACCAACACACCTTGACAAGTGAGATCAGTCACTGCCTTTCGACAGGGTCGTTCAACACTATGATAGCCTACCGTATTATCTGTGCCCTTATTTCAGAATAATACTAGGCTACGGACGTTTCTAGAATGGCCACCATATGTGCTCATAGGGTTTCTCACTATCAGATTTGAAACACTTGATACCCTCGTCACGGTTCTACCATTCTAAGGACATATATCAATACATATTGCAATTAAATGATTTACGCGATATAGAAAAATGCCTTTTATTATTGATTATGAACATTATTACAAAGAGTCAATTCCACAATAATGATTGGCTCAGGGCATCTACTCTAACACGTTGTCCATAAGAAAGACCGAGCTCGCCTTCTCCGTAACCTACTCTCTGACTTAAGTTACTCTCAACTCAGAGAGTGGGGGACAAACTGTTAGGGCCAAATCGTCCTTGGCCCAAATAGGGAAACAAGATCACTGGTGAAGAATGACCAGGCCCAATCTTGCAGAGGCCCATTCGGATTAGCCCTATTTGATACGAATTATAACCGCCCGACCTACATGCGCGAGCCTCTTAAGCCCTGTCCTATCTAGGCCTATGGGTGAGCCCAAGCCCATACCCCTTCAACATTTTCCCATTCTTGATCAATCCCCTATTCAAGGTCGTCTTCCCTTCCTGGCGACTTTCCCACTTGAGGTCTTTCTCCTAAATGGAATTAACTTCCTATTTAGACACTGATGAGGACAGCTGATTACGGCCCTGATTCTTCTAGGGTTGGCATCAGAGTCACACTAGGACTCCTGCTCCCACCAGGATTGAGACCAGACGACCACTAATAAGCAGAGGCCAGCCCTCTCACAAGGGACATCGCATTACACCTTCACACCCGGACTCTTTACTCGAAGAGTTTCACTTATTCACCGTAGCACAGTCCCCGACTAGACTTCCGGTAATCTCTCATTCCCTAGCCCTCACTATATTAGCCTTTCGCCTTGCTGACTTGACGTCAGTGCCTACGGCAAACACCACCCTGGTGTTTTCCGTTCACTTCACGCGTGTGTTTCTCTACGTGTGCAGGTACACCAGATCGCTAGGTCCTCAACCTCGCGGGATCAGACCCCCCTTTCCGTACGGTAGATTTTTACGTCTACAGTGGGTTTATCTTCCACCCACTAAAAATAGAGGTTTTTGAAATTTTATAAGGGATTAAATGATAATCTTAGGGTATGTTTGGTTCCATAATATTTTATTATAAAATATAGGATTATTAGTGATAGATAATTAATGGCTATAAATTATTATGGTGCTCGGTTCGTGTGGATTGTATAAATAATTAATTTGCTTGGTTAGCCATAATTATAAAATACTTGATATTATTTTATGAATGTCATTTACAGGTTTAATAGGTTAATAATAATAATGATAATATCCACAACAATAATAAGCCAAAGGCTTTTGTTAATTGTTATTTGACACAATATGATGGTATTTGTGTCGAATTTTTATTAAGTAAGGAATATTAGACAAAAATAAGCTTACTACCGTAATCTTAAAATACCATCTTTTGAGTCAATAATCATATAACCCCTACATCACCTCTCATATTATCTTTTATTTTGCTTAACCAAACAAGGTAATGATTGTTTAAAACATAGTTAACAGCATAATATCCACACCCTAACCACGTAGCCTGAGGGAATAAGAGATAATCATTGGGGGTATGTTGAATATAGATTTTTTTATAATAATTTTGGATGCTTAATACTTCATTAATCGTTGCATGATACTAAAATTAAGTGAATTATTATTTATGCTTATTTCATTTACTTTGTGAGATTCCTTAATATGAACACATTTTTATTGTATTAAAAAACTAACATCATTATTATAAAAGGTTCTTTATAATAAAAAATTCACTAAAATATTAAAAATTTCTCTAAAATGTATCAAAGGCCTTGACATATATACAAAAATATTTTCACTAAATATGAATTTGTTTTGATATTGCTATCTTTGTAGGAAATAAACCTTTTTTATTTGATACATTAAGGGACAAATATTTTAAAAAATATCAAAAACATCCCAATAGTTTAACAAAATCCTAATGTCCAATTCTCAACACCAGTCGAAGGCTCGTTATCAATCCCCCACTACGGCGCCACCAAGCAAACAAAATCAGAAACCCCTAAACCACCAAGCAAACCCAATATCTTCTCCATGACCGGAGGCGTGAAGAATGAAGTTAAAAAGGTACCGCCTGTGCACTCCTTCATCTTCCTTAACTCTGCGCTTCATCTCATTATAATGGTGATTCTGGTTTGATGGAGGTGGTGAATTTGGGGTTATTTTTTATGGTTCCAACACTTCTGGTTTGTTTTTTGCCTTTCACATACGGATATGTTTATGAATTTGCTTGAAATAATGATATGAAAATAATGAGGCTGTCGAGTTTGTTGCCTTCTAGCTTGCTATTAATGCTTGGGATTATTAATTTTTTTTTTTTAAGTGCGTGAATAAGAAGTGAGTTTGGCTAAATTGGGAATGAGTTCCTTTTTAATTTTTATTATTTGTGATATTATTGTCCCTTTATTTATAATATCATCATCATTATCGTGTCTCTTCCGCGTCAGTTGACCTTCCTTTGCCCAAATTTCAAGCCTCACTGCACTTAATGATGGTAATTATAAAAATGTTGGAGCTCAGGATTTGCCATCATTCATCCTTTTGGATGCTCTTTTTGTTGTTGTAACTTTGCAAAATTTGGGGTAGCAAAGACTAATGACTCTAAAACTTTTGCTGATTTTTTTTTTTCTTTTGTTTTTGTGTGGTTTTATTTGATTTGTTTGGTGGGGTATTTTTATTGGAGTAGTTGATTTGTTAGTTATATATTGTTGAAAATAGAATCTGTTATAGTTGCAAAACATATGGAAACAAAGACTAAGATTTTAGCTAGTTTAGTTTATAAGGGTTAGATTTTGATGTATTGTTGATATGTTATATGAACTTTTTTAAAAAGCTTGCTTGAAATAATGATGTGAGAATGATTTTGTTTCAGATTGTTACCTTAGGTTGGTAATACTTGGGCCATTAAGTTTTTCTTTTAAATTTTGCGAGTTTTTTGTTCTGTAATTATGAAGTCTTACCAAGTTGTTTTGTAATTAGGCTTGCAAACTTTTTAAATGCAAACAATATGTTATACGAGCCATTCAAGACAAATAAACTTAAAAAAAATTCTTCTAAATTATAAGCTTAATTATTATTGTCAATTATCATTATAAGTTAAGAAATTAAAATTTAAGTTTAATTTTTTTTTTTTTTTTTTTTATATTATGTAGAATGAATGAGTAGTGTTGAAGGTGTTTTAGTCTTTGTATAAAAGATTTGACATGGATTAGTAGATTTCATTAACGGCCATCAAATTTTTGGATGTATTTTTAGTGTTAGAAAATGTTGTCTTTGATTGCTAGTGGACGATAAACACAGGAACCAAAAAATTTTCCCCATAATTTGTTAACTTATTGTAGCTGTTACACCAAAGACTCTTAAGAAAAAAGGATGTATGGAGTTTGTAGTTTCTCATTTGTCCCTTGTGGGCTTTTTTAACGATTAATTGGGCTACCATTATCGGTTAATTTGAAACTACAATTTGTATTGTTTTTCTTAAAAAAAAAAATCTTTACCACCTCATCCCTATAATTAAATCAAATCAACTATCATGTGTTGCTTCAAGAGCAAATATGTTGGTAATATATCTAATTTGCTATGTAAATTTGTTACAATTGTGGGTCTATTACTGTTTTTAAAATGGCGTTTCAAGTGTCAAATGATGTTATCAATGTTTTCCGTATATAAAAATATCGCGTGGGATTTGAATAATTTGCTTGTTATGTAAAAACTATTTTTTATTATTTGTTTTATTTTTATTGATTTGTTTACTTCTGTTTTGGATTTTACCAGTGTTGAATGGCTATTTTGTTAAGCAAAAGTTTTGTTTAAATATTGTGGTGGATTATTTGTTTAGTTTGGATTAGTTAGTTATTAATGTTTTTATTATGAAATTGTTTTTATCAGAATATTATGAGTGGTTTACATCTTAATTTGATTTGTGTTTTACTTGCAGGCGTATGTTCAGCAGTTAGTATTAGGTAGATTAAATCTAGTTTAGTTATTCAGCAGCTGAGGTAGCTGAACAAAAGGTATGGGCTAGAAGTAGCTTGAAACTTCCTCATATATCAGAATCTATTATGAAAACTTTACTCTGAGGTATTTCAGAATTGACTTGAATTTTGATCTTGTTGGAGTGTAATTGAACAGAGAGTGTTGTGTATGCAATTTTTAGTAATCATTATGTTTAGGCATACAATTTTGGGCAAAACTAGTCACCTATGGCAGAGTTATGAATGGGATTCCTAAAGATAGAGCGAGCTTGAGGAGAATTTTGTTTATAACCCAGAAATGTATGCCTAACAAATGCAAAGAAAGTTTTAAACAACCGGAGGTTCAAAACAAATGCCCATCTGTTTCTTATGATGAATTTATGATGGCTGACCTTGTTGCATCTCTGAAAGACTTTTCAAGCCAAGGTCTTTTGGGTAAAGCATTCAAAATTTTTTCTCTTATACGTCTCCATGCTTCCTCTAGAGATGTCTATTTCTTTGATATTTTACATTCCATTTCTTCACTTTTATTATGTTGTAATAATGTTAAAGCACTCAGGCAGGGTAAACAGCTTCATGGTTGTGTAATCTCATTAGGGTTAGAACAGCATCCCATTTTGGTTCCAAAGATGGTTACTTTTTACTCAACATTTAATTTACTTATTGATGCTCACGTTGTTGTTGACAATTCAAGTATCTTGCACCCTTTACCTTGGAATATGCTTATATCTTTGTATGTTAGAAATGGGTTGTTTGCGGAGGCTTTTGGTGCTTATAAACAAATGGGAAGTAGGGGGATTAGAGCTGATAATTTTACATACTCGTCTGTTCTCAAGGCTTGTGGTGAAATGATGGACTTGGGATTTGGAAGGGAGGTCCACAAGTCTATTAATTCTAGTCATGAATGGAGTTTGTTTGTGCATAATGCTTTGGTTTCCATGTATGGAAAATTTGGGGAAATGGGAGTTGCGCGGCAGTTATTTGATGAAATGCCGGAGAGGGACGCTGTTTCTTGGAATACCATGATCTCTGGTTATGCTTCCAAGGGCATGTGGGAGAAGGCTTTTGAGATGTTTGAGAAAATGCAGGCGGAGGGTGTTGAATTGAATATCATAACATGGAATACTATAGCTGGAGGCTGTTTGCGGACAGGCAATTTCAAGGGAGCTCTTGAGTTGCTCTCCAAGATGAGAACTCGTGGTGCTCATTTGGATTCAGTGGCCATGATTATCGGCTTAGGAGCTTGTTCCCACATTGGTGCCATTAAGTTGGGTAAAGAGATTCATGGTTGTGCTGTTCGGGGTGGTTGTGATGATTATGATAATTTTAGAAATGCATTGATTACTATGTATTCAAGGTGCAGAGACCTTAGGCATGCCTATACTATATTTCAGTTGATAGAAGCAAAAAGTATTATTACTTGGAACTCCATGCTTTCTGGTTACAGTCACATGGACAGATCTGAGGAAGCTTCCTTCCTATTTAGGGAGATGCTACTTTCTGGGATTGAACCAAATTATGTAACAATTGCAAGCATTCTTCCTCTTTGTGCTAGGGTTGCTAATCTACAACATGGTAAAGAGTTTCATTGCTACCTTATGAGGCGTGAAATCTTTAAGGACTATCTATTACTATGGAATGCTCTTGTGGACATGTATGCGAGATCTGGAAAAGTCGTGGAAGCTAAAAGAGTATTTGATTTGATGTGCACACGCAATGAAGTGACTTATACTTCCTTGATTGCTGGATATGGGGTTCAAGGAGAGGGAAAAGTTGCATTAAAACTATTTGAAGAGATGGAAAAGTTTCAAATCAAACCGGACCATGTAACCATGGTTGCAGTTCTATCAGCTTGTAGCCATTCAGGTTTAGTAGTTGAAGGTCAAAGGTTGTTTGAAAAGATGTCGATCATTTATGGTATATCTCCCTGTCTAGAACACTTTGCTTGCATGGTTGATCTCTTTGGGAGAGCTGGTATGTTGAATAAAGCAAAACAGATCATCTCAAAAATGCCGTACAAGCCTACCCCTGCCATGTGGGCTACTCTCTTAGGAGCCTGTCGTATACATGGAAATACAGATATTGGAGAATGGGCAGCTGAGAAATTGTTAGAAACAGGGACTGAAAATTCAGGTTATTATGTATTGATTGCTAATATGTATGCTGCTGCTGGTTGTTGGAACAAGCTTGCGGAAGTGAGGACTTTCATGAGGGACTTGGGTGTGAGGAAGGCTCCTGGCTGTGCTTGGGTTGATGTGGGATCTGGTTTTTCTCCCTTTTTGGTGGGGAATACGTCAAATCTGAAGGCAAAAGAGATTTATCCTTTATTAGATGGATTGACTGAGCTAATGAAAGATGTTGGATATGTTTCTGGAGGGGAATTTTGTTCTGAAGATGAAGTTATAGGATGAAAATGAAATAATTTATCCCAAATGGTAGATTCTTGTTCTTTAGTATTATGGGTTGTACGATTCTCTGGATCAGCAATTCAATTACCATGTTTATATGTATATTTGATGTTACATATTCTTGTGAAGCCAGAGTGAACTATTTGGCATGAAGAATACATGTTAACAGAACCATTGGCGCTCATCAGAGGGATAGGTTGGCACTGAGTAGGTGTTCATTATTTGTGTTGCTTCAACTTTGGAGGAAAATGTGAGCTGATCACTTCCCTGTCTTGGATCTGTTGCCAATTCTGTTCTGTATGCACATGCTGCTTTTGTGATCCTTGAATGCTCTTTTACAAGGCATATAATGGTCAATACAATGTATCATGTGATCTTTACAATCTGAGACAAACTATAAAGTCTAGTGAGGATACTCTTTTACCTGTACTCTGCACCATTTTCACTTGTGGTAAGGATGGGTTAGTTAATTTGATTTTATTCTAATTTGTGTTCTTTTTTTATCAACCCAAATTTCAATGCAACTTTCTGGTGGAACTTGAACCTATGACTTTAATTTTTACAAGAAATGATTTAATTACTGATATTTTTCTATTTGTGCTGCGGAAAGCCCTCCCTTCCAAGAACTTCGTGTTTCATTTTTTTTTTTTTTTTTTATAAGCATGGTTCATCGCATTTGAAATGTCTCGGAAAAGAATATTTGAATTATTTTATCTTTATTTTTCTGTAACTTATTATGTCCTTTTTAATCTCCCTCATACCTGATTCATTGTGAAAAATAACAAGATTTAGGCTCGACTTAAAACAACTGCTGCCTTCAAGCAGTTCTATTATTTGCCAAACCCCTTAAATTTGATGGCCCTTTTGCCATGAGCTTCTTCTCCATTTTCTTCCGGTACTATGATTGTCAGTCCTTTAGCTTTTAAGCTTTTGGTCTATTGTTTTTGAACAATAGCTTTGTGTTTATTCCTCTCTAGGTTTCACTGATGGATCCTTGGCGGAAAAACCATCTGCCGAGTGACAGGCTCAGGATAGAATCCATCGAATAGGACAGTATAAGCCAATCAGCTGGAGCGTTTTACTCACTGCTTCAATGCCTCAAGATCTCTGAAACATAAGTCACATTTCTTCTTTCTGTGCAGATGGTAACATTGTCTAGGATTGCGAGATTTGTGATTGAGAACACATTTGTGGAAAGAGTTCAGAAACTGTAAGAGAAGGGCTAGTTTCTGAAGGGTAAGCCTGTTTTAAACGCCTGGTTTTTCTGTATCTGGACCTAATAGTTCTGAGCCATTAGGTAACCTATGTACCCAAAAAGGTTCGGTTTTGCTGGTGTTTGTTTTTCTTGAATTTTAATCAAATTTTGAGGGGTAATGGTGATTTTTTTATAATGATTTATTGAATTGTTTGAATCTTAGCTGCTTTTTTCTTGAACAGAAGTGGTTATGTCATATTTGTAGTAATTTGAGGCTAAGGTTTATACTTGTAAAGCTCATAAAATTTATGTTTATGGATGGATAGTTCAGTGACCCTGAGAAAAGTCCGAATATTTTTATGCGTTTTTTGTGCACTTTTATTTTGTTTTCATGATAAATGGAATTTAGAACATTTAAGCTTCATAAATAATCTTCTTTTAATGCGTGCTTTATTCATTGTCAAGCTTTTTAAAAATCTTATGACATGTCTAAATAAACAACACTTTGTTCTAACAGGCTGTTGTAAGGGGCATAACTTGGCTGCTTCAACAATTTCCTCAGCTACCAAATGGATTCTGATAAAAGCAAGCATATAATTTATGTTATTTATGATAATAAAATTATTGATATGATGTGCATAAAATAATAGAAGGTTCTTTAATTACAATTTTATATACACAATGATATGTACATATAGTCATTCTCTCGTACAAATGTTTATATTTGTGATTGTTTTGATGATCATAATCATCGTAGCAAAAGAACGAATGAATTTAATTACTAAAATAACATAAAAATCTAATGTATCTATTATCTCATTATAGGTCTATATATAGTTGAATTGTCATTTTTCTCTTGTAGTCTTGTAGACATCTTGATTTAAATGAGAATTTAAAAAAAAAAAAAAATCAAATGTAATTCTAATCGCACTACTATTTGAAAATACTAAAGGATTCGCATCTGTCAAATAATGGTGATATTCTAAACCAAATGCACTAAAAAAGTTGAACATTAACTAAATTAGGTATTGTGGCATTTCTGAAAGACAATTACGTGAATATTGAGAACACTTAATTCAGGAAATAATAAATACTACAAATATCCCTCATATATTTTTGCTGTTTCCATTTAATTTTTTAGACTTCTGATTCAGAAATTGCGAAAGGGTTTTCCAATGCTTTAAGACACCAAATCTTGCTAATACTATATTTTCAAACTCCTCATACAAACCAATGTTCTAAAAATCAACCCATGATGAAACTCAGCAAAGTTGTTAGTTCCCGGGTTGACCGGTTTGATCAACCGGTCAAATCAAGTGAAAATTTTTAAAATTCAGCATATACACCCCTAAAAATTATGTTAAGTCCCTATAGGTTTAAAATTTAGCAAACACATCTCAAATACAAATCGGCCGGCGATTGGTTGGTGGTGGCGACACCCCAAATGCAATCTCAATCGTCCCTTGAGCCCATTCTCCTGAAAATCTACCCAAGATCTGGCCGAAATTGGTTTGATTTCAACCAGATCTCACTGACACTGACGTTTGCATTCCAGGTCAAATCTCACCAACGTCGGTGTCGACAACCCTCCCCCATCACCCAAAAAATACTCCCCTCCTCCTCCCGACCAAAACCCACCTCACCCCACCCCTATTAGCACCACCAATTGCCGACAAAGTTGGATGTTGCCGTCACCATTTTTTTTTTTTTCGATTAATTCACTCACCGAAAATCAACTCCATCGCTACCATTGCACTCATTGGCACTTTTTTTCAAAAGCCCCAACATCTTGGCCTTCAATTGTTCACCGATCATCATCCCAAATCCTAGGAATCTGGGTGAATAAGAAAAATGTTAACCTGGCCCGGTGAAGCTCCCGAGTCCCGGTTAAACTGGTTGGGTTTTAAAACAATGATACAAACGCATCTATACAAATTGACGTGTTTTAATGTAATTTGATTGTTTTGAATTAGAGATAAACGAAACAACTAGAATAGATGATATGTCAAACATGCACAACTAGTTTGTATATGTAGTTTTTTTTTTTTTTTTTTTTTTTTTTTTTTTTTTTTTTTCGTTCTTAAAATTTGCTTTTGTAGAACAGACTTGAAATTGACACACAATTCTTGGCCTCTTTCCAATATGCCTCCAAGGCTCCAAAGCATAAAATCCCACTTTTTCAAATACATATACGGCAAATTATCTAGCTGGGATTTTACCAACTTAATCAATTGTAAATTACCTAACCATAAAGAGTGATTTGAATTAATTTTCTAAATTAAGGTTTGATGTAATATTCAATAACTGTTTGAGAAAACGATTTTTTTTTCTTGGTTTATTTTAGATTTTTCACTGATTTTAGGATTATATCCACAAATCTTTTTGTTAAAAAAAAAAATTAATTTTTTATCTAATTAAATGGATTTATTTTTCTTGTAAAGTGGTGTACTCTTCGTTTTTTAAATATGTAAATTCAAGAAAACCGAATAGGCAGCCCTAAACTTCCATAACAAAACTGATTCCATTACACTCAATAAACAAATATTTGATTCAAAAATAATTTTTAAAAATCAAGTTACGCTTCAAAATACTAGTTATACCTTACATATTTCTAATATCTCGTTATTCTTATACCTTAGAAAAATAACTTTTAAATGATAAAATTGTTAATTTAATCAGAGAAAAACAATTTATTCAGTTTTCGGATTATATCCATAAAATTGTGCTTAAATTCAAAAATGAAAAAGACAGACCTATTCTCCCATCGCCTAAATGGCTCATTATTGTTTACACCTTCATCGAGCTCTATAAAAACCAACTTAATCTTCTCTAAACTCCAAGCCAGAAAGAACAAACTAATACCACCATCAACAAAAGAAAAAACTTATAGGAGCCATGGATGCACACGCAAAGCTTGTCATTTTGACAATGGCAATAGGTTTAGCCATTGTGTTTGAACCCTTGGGTTCTAATGGTGATAACTTATTACTATGCAAAATGAATATGGAGGATCTAAAGGCTTGCATGACTTCCATAAACGCCTTGTTGAATGGTTCATTTCCTTCATCAGCTTGTTGCTCGGCTCTTTCGAAAGCTGATTTACAGTGCTTTTGCGAGTTTAAGGACTCGGGGTTGCTGAAATATCTTGATATAGATTGGAAATTGGCCTTGAAGCTCCCTGCTAATTGCAACATTTCGGTTTCTTTCCATTGCTAAGATGTTGAGAATTCAGAAATTTGTTGTGGCAAAATTGAAACCTACTACTCCTAATCGTAGTTCTTATTTTAATTTTAATAAAGATAGGTTGATAAACCCTTCTTATAAACTTTTTTTCATAAATGTGACGTGATAGTTCGCAATTGGTCAAGTATGACCTATTATTGGACATATGTGATCCATTGCGAGTTTTTACGTTTTATTTGTAAGATAAAGTTAGTGAAAATGATTTGTTAGCGTAGTATTATCCTTTTAATTTTGGTTTTCTGGTTCATCACTTTTGGATTATAAAATGTATTGTTTACTTTGTTTCATGAAACTATGTTTTAATGTTCAAGTCTTTTAATCCCTACACGTATATTTAGATACCCAAAAAGAAAAACATATTTTAAATATTAAACTTGATATTTTTCATATTTTTAGAAAAAGCAGAAGCTCAAAAAGCTAGATGAATGAAATAGGGAAAATCTATATATTAAACTAAGGAAATGAAAAATCTTTAGTAAAATGGTGTATGTATGACCGTCAAATTTTTCTATTATAGGTGAAAAGCATACATATATAGTATGCATATGTCACATATACAATGTGCAATAAATGTTAAATGACTTTCTTTAAATTACTGCAAGTCATATTATCGTTAGTATATGGTCCACAAGTGTTTTGTGAATAAACATACGGACATAGAACTTATATATATATAATACCGAAAACTTTACCATAAATTAAAAAAAAAAAAAATGTAATACTTGTTTATTTTAAGATTGGTAATCTCAAAAACATCTTAATATTATTTTTCATCAATTTTATACATTATTTGGAAAATGAATTGGTACCATAAAAACAATTCAAATAGCTACCACTTAGGCTATTCAAGTTTTAGTGGAAAAGCAAAGCTAACCTAACTACTCAATTAGCTAGTAATATACAAATTTATCATTTTAGATGCTCTAAAATTGATAAGCTTAAGAGAATTTAGAAAGAGCTCTACATAATTAGGTTCGAGAATCAGAGATAGAGAGCAATGTTATTACAATTTACAACCATAATATGAGGGTACTTTTAGCTATTAAGGAAAAGTTTCAAATTAGTTGTTATTATAGTTGATGGAGGGGTAACGTTGTAATTTCAATATTTTACAAAAACGAAAAAAAACAAAAAAGGTTAAAGCCCAAGAAAGCAACAGTTTGATGGCATCTTTCTTCACAGGCCCAATTTTCTTTTCCCTTGGACTTTTTTAATTGGGTCCATTCTTTTGATGGGATATATTTAGCTCCCTAATTTGAGTTTATTACAAATTCTCTCCCGCGGCACGTCTCATTGATAAAATATTTTTCCAAGTGTTGTGCAGCCAATCCGGAGAGGATAATTCCATATTAGGACAGAAAATATTTAAATTGGTTCAATTTGAAAGAAATATATTCAGATTGACTTAAACTTCAACTAAGATAGCCGAAGATCATGCAACTTCATAATCCTATGTATTTGAATCTTATTTCAACTCTATCATGTAAATGTGTGCTATATAAACCCATCATAACTTGTTTTCAAGGGGGCTGGGAAATTTTCTAGGCAAATTTTCTTAGGAATTATACTGTTCTTTGTAAGCTCTCAAAAACAATAAGTAGCAGTGAATGTAGGCTCAAGTTCTAACTTATCGAACCACTTTAAAAATCTCTCTACCATTTACTTTATTGCATTTATTATTCATCCACTGCTGGTTATCCGTAATCACACCCACATCTATTCCAATTCTGACAGGGTCAATCAGAATTCTCTAGTTGATGCAGATTTCTGTATCAACACCAAGGTATCCAAAAAATATTTTTTCCTCTCACGTATCTAAATAACAATTCACCTTTATTGACTAACACATATTACTCTTGATTTATTAAATCAAACCCCAAACCTCTAACGATAATGAAATAAATTATTATTTCATACACTTGAACAAAATCTCGTAAAGGAAATTATATTAAACTCACTAATGTTTAGAAGTAACTATGATTTGCTAGTACGCTTTGACTCACCGGAGTCAAAAAGTAAAATTTCAATCCTTCTTATTTAGCATTGGCTTCAATTCAGTTAGACAAATGGATGGACCAAAGTGTTCACTTGAACTTTGAAGGGACTACTTTGTTATTTTCTGATTTTAATGGATCAAATTGATTAAGCCCAAACCGCAGGCACTGAAATGTATTTGTTCCTTCCTTTTGACATCAACAATCTCCAATTTTCATTAATCAGCAGCGCTATACCATCATCAACCATGCTGAAGATCTCCACCACATCGTCACTATCTCTTCCTCCTCGTTTCCCTCCCCTTCACTTCAATGAAGCATCTCAGCTTACTCCTACAGCAACGATACCAACCAGTAGAATAACACGTTGGACCCCACAAACCAAGCTGATGAAAGTTTCGTCATCAGAGAGTAGTTATCAGACGGTGGTGGACGTTGCACCAACACCGGAAACAAGTGAAGGCGGTGCAGCGGATGTTGTGAGAAGGTTTTACGAAGGAATTAATGGCCGTGATCTTGTCTCGGTGAAGGAACTCATTGCTGATAATTGTGTGTACGAGGACCTCATCTTTCCTCAACCCTTCGTTGGTCGTAAGGTAACGTTACCTTACCCTCTCGTTTTAAGACTCTTATAAATGCATTATTAAGCCCGGCAATAGGCCCATAATTGTTCGGACGGGTTCTGATTGTAAACGCGAAAGTTCAATGGGCCAACATCGGCCCGGCACAAAAACAAAATATTTTTTTAATTTCAACTCAGGTCAGGGCAGCTAATGTTTGCGTTTGAATGCAAGTATTATGATGAAAGAGGGCAGCTGAAGTTCCAACAGAGTTTTAGATGATTTTTTGTGCAATTTACTAGAAGAAAACTGATTAACATTGACATAGCAATAATGTAGAATATCAATAGGAAAGATAAATAATAATAAAAATATATATATATATTGAAGTTGAGAAGTGTAAAAAATCAATATCTAAGGCTCAAAGGCAGAATGCAAAAAGCAGAAGTAGAATGGCTTGGTATTGTATTTGTTCTTTCTGACTAATCACAGTTTATTTGATCTTCATTCCATACGCAGGCAATCCTAGACTTCTTTAAGAAGTTCAGTGATTCCATTAGCAGTGATCTCCAATTTGTTATTGATGACATCTCTACTGAGGATTCCTCTGCTGTTGGTGTTACATGGCATTTAGGTACAGTGAAGTGTAATATAATCCTTCCCTCAATTCCGAACGTCTGCATTTCTTCAAACTTCATATCAGAAACTCTATAATCTATATGTAAATAGTTGAATAAATGTTAATCTTTTAACAAATTCTATATGCATAGACTTTCAAGTCCAGGTTTGTAAGAAGGCGAACATTTATATATAATTTCCTGTTGAATTTTATTATTTTTCTTGTTTCGATTTCATCCCTTCTAAGTGCCTATCAATTTACTCCTTTGCTGTTATTCTGACAGAATGGAAAGGAAAGCAATTTCCCTTCAGCAAAGGATGCAGCTTTTATCGGCTGGAGGTTGTGAATGGCAAGAGACAGATAATGTAAGTGAAGTTTTTAATTTTGTAAGCAATTTCTTAGCAGTATGAGTTCTTAATTTCCTTTTCCAATATAGAGAATGCAAAAGGGATCTTCTTATTAACAAATTTAAGTTTTGTTTACTTGAATCAATTCCAAGTTGAAACTGACATTAATATTGTGTTCTCTAAACAGATATGGAAGAGACATTGTTGAACCTGCAATCAAGCCTGGAGAGTCAGCTTTGGTATGTACATCACCCTTCACTTTGTCGGAATTATCACGTCATTTATATATCTATCTCAATAATATAAGGATTTTTCTTAAATAAATTATTCCACAATAATTATATCATTTTACTTTGTGTGTATATATATATAGTCTTAATCTTTCATGATTCCTTTTGGAGTATACAGGGTATTATCAGGGCTGTAACTTGGTTGCTGCAACAATTTCCTCAACTTGCAGACAGGCTTTGAAAGTAAAAATAAATTCTTGAATCAATAGTTTGTTAAAGTCCTGAAGGACTAAATCTACATTACATATTGTTATATGTATACAGTGGTTCCTTTTGAGTTTGTGCATGTACAGATGTACTGTCTAGATCCTTTTCTGAAGTACTACTGGTGACATTAGTGTATTTGTATAATAATATAATAGGTACTGTATATACTAACTACTGTAACTAAAAACTAACTTATCAATCACACAAACACACAATGAGGAATTAAGAATCAACACCAGAAATTTTATCGTGGTTTACCTATCTTATTTCAAATAGGCTACATCCACGTTGAGCTCGGGAAATAGAGAGCTCACTGCACTAATCTTTAATTGAAAACAGTTCACATACACACTCAGATCAACCCAATCTGAATAACCCTTAAACCAAACCAACCTGTAACTTCTAATCCTGGAGATATCCCCATAGAAATCCCTAAACATTGAGAGAATTATAACCCTCACAGAATGACAAGATCCTATCACTCAATCTTTACAAGTGACACAAGTTTGATTCAAGCTTTTGTAATGCTCTTAGACGAAACGAAGAAGAAGCAGTGCTGAATCTGAATTTCTGCTGCTTTTATAGAGTTGATTGGAATTGATGATAGCAGCCGTTGGATCTTTGTTTGATCAACGGTCTGAAATTGTCCACTCAAAGCACAAAACGGCAGCGCACCACTAACTCTAAAACGACGCAGCTTCAAGTCTTCACTCAACACTAACCTTAATAAAGTGATTTATTATAATATGGTTGGAGAATTTAAGATTAAAAATAAATTAAACTTGATTATGTGACAATCATATAAGGCTGTCACATTTGTTTATACGAATTAATTTATATGATAAGTTGTATATATAGCGTTGTTCGTTTTTAATATATTTGTGGCATTGAATATTGAGTAAATAGGATTAGATAAATTGGGCTAGTAATAGAGATAGGATTAGTATATAGGTTTGGATAAGTGTGTTGGAGAAAATATAATACAATTTGAAAGTGAATATTTTACAGATGTATCCAAGGGCCGTATTACGTTATGCTTAACATAATGTACGCTAAAAGAATAAGTCGTTTAATTTGTGAAGTAATATTATATTCACCATCTTTTTATACAAACTTTCTCTCACAAACTTATGAGACAAATAATGCTCCGAAAACTGGACTAGACTATGACCCGTTCAAGGGTCCAGTTTCCAGTTGGATCGATCGATTAGACCATATCCTTTAAAAAAAATTTAGTCCCTAAATGTTTGAAATTCATCAAAAACACCCCTATAATACTCCCTTAAGGTTTGAAATCTATCTAAAACACCCCTGTCACGCGAAGAGATTGGTGAGTGGTGGTGGTAGCGACGATCGACGGCCAATCGAAGTTTGGAATCATAGGGCTTTTGATGTATAGGTTCTGGCGAATCTGATGGTGGTCTTAAGGAGTTCCATCAGCGTCGGAAATTACCGGAATCAAGAAGGAAGTCCGACGGTCGCGTGAACTTTAGGTGGACGGCGAGCGACGAAGGCTGGACGACGGCCACTGAAAATGGATGGGTTTTGTCATGGAGATGCTGTCAAGTCGAATGGTGGTGTTTTCTCCCTCGAACGATACCGGAATCCGACAGGAGTGAGCTGTGATTGGACCACGACTCGGCACTATTCTGGCGATCCAACCACGGCTCAATCCGGTTTAATTGAAAATACCTATTTTTAGAAGATACTAGACGGGAGATACCGTAGGCTCCCGGTCGAACTGGTCCGGTTTTCAAAACACTTGTGACAGAAGATGATTTGGTGAAAGTTTTTTTAAAATTATAAAATCATCCAATCATCTTTTATCACATAAGTTTGATAGAAAAAGTTTGTATAAAAAGATTGTGGGGTAGTATTATTGTAATTTGTGAGAAAGTTTTCTAAGGGTTTAATATTATTTTCAACCGAAATTCTAATAAACACTTGCAACCGATAGAACAAGGGAAGGACAATCCTTTGCAACATCTTTATCGTATGGGTTAGGAATTTGGATATAAATAATGTAGGTACAGAGTTGGGTTATAATTCTATTATTAAAGTTGTTGAATTAACCTCATAAAAATTATAAAATTGATTTATATTCATAATTATTTAATTAAATTAAGAATTTATTATATAAGTATTTTATGAATTAAAATATGTCAATTTTGGTTATTATATTTATACCAATGTAAATCATGTAATTGAATTTACCACGTTGTATTGGTAACATTTAAAAAGCATAACAATCTTAAAAGTAAAGTTTATAAATATGTTTCAGATTAATTATTACCATTAAAGCCATAAATAATTAATTTGAAAATCACAGCATACCAAATTGGAACAAGTTAATTTCTTTTCAAAAATAAGAATTAATAATAAATCAAATACTAATATAATTAAATGTGCTTATATTAAAAAAAAAAAAAAAAAACTTGAAATTTGATTTTGCGTTTGGTAGCAAAATCCCAACATGTCATTAGAAACCTTTAACACGGTATTAGAAACCAGTAATACTTAAGTACTCTAACATCAAACTTAAAATTATATGAACTTGATACAAAAGACATTTAAATCTAAAGTTGAAACAAATAACATGTTACTTGAAACATTTAATATGATGGAAATATGTTAGGATTATTTTAGGATTAGGATAATTACGTTAAATCTTTTATTATTATCTTTTATAACTATGTTAAATCTTTAATAATTATCTTTAATAATTATGTTATTATTTTATTATGATATAATTAAGATTATTTTATTATCCTTTTATAATTATGATATAATATCTTATTAGATTTTAATTAGGTAATTAGAGTTCTTTTATGAGTCATTTGGAGTCAAGTGTAAGACTATTAATAGCATAAATCTATATTGTGATTATCAATGAAGAATTTTGTCAATTAATCTTTCTATCGCTTGTTCTTGGAGGTCTTTGTTCCTCATATAAACAGATTTATCCCAAACCCTATCATTGGTGCTCTCGTTGAGAGTTGGGCTACAAAAATGACTACCTATAGGCTAGATTAAAGTGCAATGTGCATCGAATGACTGATAGGTGAGTGAAACCATCCAAAGGAGGATAGGGCTACCGTCCGGTTAGTGTCGATAGAGTGAAAGTCGCTGTGAATATCAGCTCTTGAAGGGGGGTGCAATGTTAGGATTAGGGGTGGACAAAGAAAAACCGAAAACCGGATCGAAACCGGTCTGAAAATTCGGTTTTTTCCTGTTTCAGTTCGGTTTCAATTTGCCATATTTTGTAAACCGAATATTTGGTTCGGTTTTGGTTTTTTTAAATAACAAAAACGGTTAACTGAACCGGATTTTTAAACCGGTTTAATGAATAAAAAAATAGTTTTATATTTTTCAATTTTTAAAAAATTTATCCCTAGGTCTTCACTAATGTAATTTTAAATTATTAATACTTGATGTAAATTAAAATTATATGAATTAAAATTATTCAATTACAATAAATATAATTTTAATTCAAGTTAAAAGAAAACCCAGAAAAAAAAAGGGCCAAAGTGGAGGATTTGACCGCCGAATAAATGCAACCCATCATAATTAACCGGTTTTAAACCGGTTTAGAACTGAAACCAGACCGGTTTCGGTTCAACTTTTTTTTTTTAAATCGAAATCCGATTCGGTTCAAGATACCGGTTAACCAGTTTTTTCCACCCGTAATTAGGATCTTACATCGAGATCTCACACCTACTAAGTATGGTACTTAAGTCTAAAGGCTTTTCCACCTATCAAGTTGGTCTTTTGGATTGGACTCTCTCTTAAACTTGAGTTCTAACAAAATCTTAATAGTCTTTACTTAAAAACCACTGTAAGAACCTTACTTAAATGCTATTAGATTCATCATCATTAGACTGTTATAATATTTTGCAGATGAATCCAAAAGTATTCAAGCATGATCCTTAAAAACAAACATAAAATACGTCCTTTCTAGAGAATATATATTGAAAGAAAATATATGACAAATAGATTTTTTTAAGAAACGTTGAATGATTGAGCACAGAGTTTGGGCCCTAACATGGAATTAGGCTCATTCGAGTTGCATGATTGAGCCCACTTTCAAAATTTTTTTTTTCTTTTTTTTTTTTTGTTTGCGCGGGCTTAAGTTCATAGTAATTATCAAAATTACTTAATATTTGTTCCTTATGGTATGATTTAATTTTCATTTATTTTAAGCTAATAAAAACTTGTTGATATAAATTAAAACTCATAGTAATTATCAAAATTACTTAATACTTCCTTTTTTATGGTATGAATTAATTTTTAGAACTTACATCCTTCTAGACTTAAAGCCTTTGGAGAATTATTTATTAATTTTTCTTCTCCCTTATGTTTTCTTTTCTAAGTTTTAAATTTAGAAAAGCTATTGCGAAATACATTGTTTTCAATAGAAAACTAAACATATAACAAAGAAACAAGGTGTTGATGTTAGTTTTTGGAGCTGAAACTTTTTAGAAACAGATGATTTTAAAATATTTCAGATGTAGAACATAATAATGAAAATATTTATGATTTATTCTTCTAATTTTTTATATAAATAAGAACTATCGTTAATTTTTTTTAAATACTATTATACCCCTATCTAAGGTAGAAGATGATGGCTAAAAAAATATGGGTTAAAGAAATACAAGGTCTAAAAATCACTTCCGTAAAGTAAAATAAAAAAATAAAACTTGTTATTTAATTATTTGAGAAATTTGCTAAGTTATATCACTTTCCGAATTATTTGGTTATGTATTTCGTTATATCTTTAGCAAAGTAATTATACAATTATTTTATTTAAAAAAAAAAAAAAAACCCTTATAAATAATATCAAGCATGGCTAAGGCCAATATACTTTTAAATGGTCCCAATGATGTGTCAAATACTCAAATTCAGGTATTGCAATTTTTTATTTTATTTTTTTTAAATAATTGCGATTGATAAAAATAGTAGCATAACTGGTCAAATATATATTATCATAATTAATTAGTTGTCCATCTTTAAAATTGATAAGCTGTCATTCTTTAGAAGTACTCATAAAAGGCTAATTACTTGTATATGAAAACATTTATATAATTAAATTATATTATATATGTTTCATGTTAGAGGTTTGATATGATATCCTCTTGAATAAAATATCCATATTAACCCGTTATAATATAATGTTGAAAAGAAAAAGAAAAAACGTGTTCAGAGAGAGAAAATGTATGAAAGATATATGGAATGACCACTTGTAGAGATATTATTTGAAGAGTGGATTTTGATATTTTATAAAGTTTCCATGAGGTATGATTAAATAACAATTTTTTTTTTTTTTGAAGTCTGAAATAATTAAAAAAATAACCCTTACATTAACTTTTAAATATTAAAATAAATGGTAGGATGATAATTTAGTAAATATTTATTAATTCTTAATAATGTAAATTCTATCGACTCACTAATAGTAGAGGATACTTATCTCATAGTTGTCTAAGTATTAGTAATTTTTATTTCTGAAAATAAAAAAAATATATAGAAAATGAGAGAATTACATGTATAACTAAAAAAATTGAATATATTTAAAATGTTTGTACATGAACATCTAGTAATCATTATACCTTATTATAATTAGAAATCTATAATTGTTATTAAGTTTATATTTTTTATTAAGAAAATAATAATAAATCTATTTAATTTAAATTTAAAATATCAATTTCTATAAAAGGAAAAACGAAAAAAACAAACCATAAAAATCCAAAGAATGTTTGCACTCAAAAGTAGGTGGACGGCGAACCACTCAATCCACGTGTCGTCAAGCAGGCCTCCAACTTGTTCCAAGTCAAAATCACGCAAACCACACGTTCCTTCACGTGACGTCGCACCCTGTGTGTTCTCTGCATAATAGGTTGATATCTCTTAGATCCCTTGAAGTTTTAATACTATTAAAATTACCCTTTATGATTTAACAAACATTTTAAACATCCACATTAGTAAATATAAAATCTAAATCAATAATTGGTTTTCAATGGGAAAAACCCTTACTTCTAGTGGGGTTATGAGTTATGACTTAAATATAATAATCATATTATTGTTATTATTATTATTATTATTATTGTTCTGGGTTATGAGTTATGACTTAAATATAATAATCATATTATTATTATTATTATAAAGAACGATTTTGATATTATAACAAATCATACATTGTTGATTGTGGGATGAACAAAAAATTAGAAAATCGACAAATCAAATTTAATCTTTGAATTTGGCTTGTGCTTCATGAACTATTTAGTCTTGACAAAAATCGCAACCATAACATTATTTGTTTATTGAGTAGGTTACATATGCTAAGTATTCCTAACCTGTTCAACTTTTTTTTTTCTTTAAATGTTTATTAATTCAAATCATTTAACTCAAACTTAAGAAATTCAATAGATGTACACAATTGAAACAACTTGTATTAGTTTTAATAAAGAAATATTTTAAAATTTCAGAAATAATAAATTTACCAAAAAAATATTTATAAAATCATATAGTAATTATTCTTCATAAAAGTAATCCATGAACGTATGAATTGGGTTAATAAATAAGTTGACAAAATAAATCAACTAAATGATATCATATAAATACTATATTGTATTCATATCATATCGTGTTAATGGATCATGTCAGTAGTTATTCTTAACAAATCATAAGATTCATTTGTAACATCTTCAAACCCATGTGGGTAAACAAATATTAACTAAATTCTTGGGGGTTCATTAAAATTATATCTCAATAAATACCTTGGACTATCCTACGCGTGTCGGCCTTTTCAGACTCACCTGGCGACAGTCGAGAGAGAGACCTGTTTTGTCATTGCTCGACACCAAAGGGAGGCTCTGGGCACCGCGTTCCTCGGTGTCTCCGCCTCCCATTTCCACCGATCTCTTTCTCTCTCTATAAAACCATCTTGTTTTAGGCTGTCGTTTTGTTTTCCGCATTTGAACCAGAAAGAATGTCGGTCATCTCGAATCTCACGGCGAGCCACACCGCCGTTAATTTTCCCGGAACGAAGCTCAAATTCGATACGATTAACGGAGTTAGTTTGAAGATTCCTAGACCTTACCAGGTAACTAACACTATCGTACTCGTCTGGTACCGAGAATGGACCGGTTAGAATTGCAATTACGTTAATGTTACCCAGCAATTAAGGGAGGTTAAGCTTACAATTAATTTGTAGAGATGGTTTACGCAAAATGTCGACTTATAGTTTGACATGTAAGCAAATTGTATTACGAGTACTGAATGTTAATTCCTTTGAAGAGGAAGTTGAACTTCAAGTTTGATTTTTTGGGGGGTGAATTTGATTTTGAAACTTAAATGACTCTGCAATTGTATTCATTACATGTGACGTGATGTTTTCCAGTTTAGGAGATGCTAAAGGAGACTTCATTTTTGTTTTAATTTATATTTAAAATTGTTTGAGTCATTGGTAACGTTACCGGGTCAGTAATAAAGTGGAACGTTCCAATTTGATCTGTAGCGATGGCTTATTATGCAACAAATGTAACCAAATCACATTTACAATTATGGAATTTTAATTTTTCAGTGAGAAAGTTGAAGTTTTGGGTTTTTTTTTTCCTCGTAGATATGAGAGTTTTTTTTTTCATAATTCATGTGTGCTTAAGACATCATAGTATGGTCTGGCGCAGTACTGAATTAGTAAAGACCCTTTAATAAATATCAGAGTACAAATTTCAGCCAATCAAATTCCTTTCTGTTAATTTCAAGTTTAATTTGTAGGCATTTATTTTTTATTTTTTTATTTTTTTATTATACCACTATGAGTTGTTTTGCTACTCGGATGCAAAGTCACGGTTGTCTTACTTGAACACGGATGCTATTCTTGTTATGTGTTTAGGAAAATTGAACATCATGCGTCCAGACATTTGGAAACTGTTTTTTTTTTTTTTCTTGGATGCAGAATGGTGCATTTCGTGTCTCTGAACTATCTCTTGGTCAATCAAGCTGTGCTGCTAAATTTTTAAGTGTACGTATGGCATTAGTTGATGAGAGGCTTGCTCGTGGCAGAGATGTGGCTGAGCATTCTGGAGTCCTGGTAAGAACCCTGCTATAGTCTGATAATAGATCAATGAAGTGTGAGGCATTAGGAAGTTCTTATTTTTCAGTATTTCAATATTTTCTTATTGTATGGCAAGTAATTCTGTTTGTGACGCTCTCTAGTTTTGATGGGCTGGTTTGGTATGGTCTCAGTCTTTTTCTAAAGTCTCCCTTGAATGATAAAAGGCAGTAAATCACTAACATTTTGCAATAAGATATGAGTAGAGTATCCTAGTTTGGAATATGACAACTGTTTTTTGTGATGTTTGTTTGCAGGCACATGAGCTCGTTCAAGGATCACTTGTAAGTCTTATGCATCTCTCAATCTGCTAATTAGATATGTTAGAGTTTAACTGATGTTGTTGGTCCCCTTCCTAAGAGTTTAAGTATTTTGGAATTAGTAGTTACTCAATTGGTACTAGCGCTTTGTTTGACAAAGAGGTCTTGTATAGGACACTTAAAAGGCCCCAATTTCATGGCTTAAAATGTAAAATATGGTGACTTGGTCATTTTTATCCATATGACAAGTCCAACAATTAAATTCAGTAATGCATGCGATAGGACATTTTAGAGTTTAAATATTTATTTACTCTGTAATTTCCTTTTAGCTTTGGCGGTTGGAATTCATGGTTACTCAACAATGTTCAGACTGTATCGTTTCAAATTTGTTATCATGTCTTATTTCTTGGAATGTGATTCCATCACATTGCATTAGTCATATGGTGTCCTACAATGAATTTTTTATTACCGTTATGTGAAAGTTGTAAAGCATCACTTGTAATTTCATCAAGTTTTGAGTGTTAATTTAATTGTTCCAATTGATATCTAAGGATGAATTTGCCTCACTGTAATCTTTTACTTGGCTCAAGCATAACTGTTGAACTAATATATTTGTTTTTGGTAAGAATCTAAATAGTATTTACTGTTTGGAAGTCACATTCATGATAATCAGAAGGTTGATTTTCAGAAAAAAATTTATGTAAGTTTACTGATGACCGGGTATAATATGTAAAAATTGGGTAGGGAATTGAATGTAATCTTCTTAGCTATACTGCAGGAAAGTTAATTTCCAGTTTAAGGTAATGGATGAACCCTTGTCTGGTGATTCCTGATTAATGTATGAATAAATTGTAAAATATATTGGTTCTTGCTTTTATATCTGGTCTCACCTTTTGACAGAATGTTCATATTATTATAACTTTCTACTTTATGTGTCCATATCATGTAACTTCTGGTGTAGATGTCTAGACTGAAGGTTTTTGACTTACTTAATTGAGATATGATTACTCATGAAGTGATACACTGCTGAATGACTTAAAAAACTTCTATTTGGTCCTTTTTACTGGACAGAATTATGTATTTAATGTAATGTTGTCCGTAGGTAAAATGGAGTTCCATGATGGACAAATCAATACCGGAACCACCAACCGCTGTTCTCCTTCATGGCATTTTAGGTAGCGGGAAGAACTGGGGTATGTATTATTTTCTATTTGAATACTATTGGATTCTTCATGTACTTCATGTAATATGGAAACATAAATTGCATGATAGTTGTTTTGTGGATTAATTGAAGAAGGGATCCTGTCCTCTTGATGTTAAATTTGGTTAATACTTTGAAATGTCATTGCAAGGTGTCATTTTGGGTCACCCAACTCTCAAAGGGAGTGATGATTAGCAGTTTTTACTTGCTTGGTTGTAGTTTAACTAGATGGTGAACAACAAATGCAGTTCCTTAACTCATTGATCTAACTGCAGTCCATCTTATTCTAAAACCCCAAGTATCTTTTTTTGAAGCCTTCTTTCTGGTAAAAGTATGTTTTAAATTCTTCTTAATTTTAGAAGTCAAGGCGATTTTTCTTTTTCTTCCAATCCAAGATTTTAGGCCATTTTCACTTTTGTATTTGTTTTATTGGGCCTCTGATTCACTTTAACCGTGATGTAATTTCTTTGATTAAAGTTTTTTTCTTCTGCTTCTTACAATATCTATATATATATACATATATATAATAATAATAATAATAATAATAATAATAATAATAATAATAAAAAGATGTGCAGGCCATATTTTGGGCATGCCATATGTATGTCTTAAAAATGTATCCAGAAGTTGAAATTGCATGTGCTAATTATAAGATGTTGCATTTTCTTCCATTGGCCTTGGTGGAGCAAAGTGTTCTTTTTCCCTCTTCTTTTCTTCATGATCTGTGTGGAGCAAAGTGTTCTTTTTCCCTCTTGTTTTCTCCATGATCTGTTCTGCAATATTACTTATAATGATTAGTTACAAGATTGTTTCTTTTTGTGCATTTGTTTACAAATGGCTCGTTTGAAGTATTATGATGCTAATTTATAGTACAGGAACTTTTGCTCGAAGACTGGCCCAAGCTTTTCCGACATGGCAGGTATGCTTTATTGAACACCTTGTTCTATATAACTTACAGTACTGCTTGTTTTGAATAATTGTGTGTTTCTGTGTGAGTAAAAGGTTATATGCATCGCATTGCTCCCTCCTTTACAGGATAGTCTTTTTGTCAGGTTCTAAAGAAAAATGATATACCTTTCTATGAGTATACTATGTTATTTTTAACCTGTCATGTCTTGTGGATGTATTATTTCATTGGAGTTACATAAGGGAATTAGGTTTTTGCAAATGATGATAATCCTCGTTGTTCCTTATGGACTTATTGATACAGTTTCTCCTGGTGGACCTGCGGTGCCATGGTGATTCAGCATCAATGAAGAAGAGGCGACCCCATACTGTTGCCTCAACTGCTCTTGACGTATTAAAGCTGGTGAGTATTTCTTGATGTTGGTTAGTGAATTTTATGCATAGATGTATTTCCTTTACTGTTCTTCATTTGGTAAATCTGATTTCTAATACAATTAATCTATGCATTAACTAAAATAACTCTCCCGCATTGGTTGTTTCAACATAAAGTTGATTCTTAGGTGCAACATAGGGAAAAGTAGCCTGAAGCATATATTGTAGAAAATTTTATAATGGAAGTGATGAAATGCAGAATCTTTTCTCTTTTGTTCTGGATGAGTGTGATTTATTATTGAGAAAATACGATGTTGGTGTCTCAAGACATGATACCTTTTGCAGGAAACTTATCTACTGTCAAATATAGTTGGATCAGTTGTTTGAGTATTTTTTTATTGCTTCTGAGGTTACACACATCTAGAAATCACTTAGCTTTTGCTGGCCAATGTGCTTGTGACTTGATTAAGCCTACTATTGATGAAGAGTCAGCATTGAACTCTCCTGGGCTTCTGTCATATTATCTAACACATAAATCAAGCTTGAATCCCAATATTTTTAATATTTTATTAGATATGAATATAGCTAGGAATTGCTTTTTCTTGAAAAAAATAAAAAAAGAGTTAGGACTTCTCTTTCATTTGGCTGGATTAGAAAGAATTTGTGCTATGTCTGTGATAGACTCCCATTATTAAAGTCTATCAGCTAAAAGGGCATAAAGGGCATAAGGGCAGTAGGGTGCTGGGTGTGTGAGTGTGCGTTTAAGTATATTTGTGCTAGTGGGAGTTGGTTGGGAAATATTCACGTGATTGGGGATCAAGTTGTTTAGTGGAGGGAATATTTTAGTTAAGGAAGTAGTGTATAAAGTGAGGCCAGTTTTAGGGAAGGACAGGTATTTTTTCTAAAGGTCACTAAGGGAGGTCCCTAGCTCCTCGAACTGCTAGGAATTATCTGTTCTTAGTATTGTTTGTTTGTGGCTGGATTTGTTTTAATTTGACAGGGTTCCCATCAGTCTGCCTTTCTGTTCTCTATGACTGATGACAATATAGGTGTTAGAAGTTTTATAGTGCATTATGCTTTTGAGGAGCTTCTAATTATTTCATGTAGTAATAGGCCATTTGAAGATTTTTGTTTGATCCTATCATTCCCTTAGGGATATTTAATTCAGGCCCTAGTATTGGAATTTTTATTTGGACTGTAAAAGTAGGAAAAACTCAACCAGAAAAAATATTATAATTCTACTTTGGTTCCCTCTCCCTCCATAAAGTACATGCATATGAATAAATCAATGATAGATGAATGAATGCATGAAAATAGGAAACCTAAAAATTTCTCAGCTTAGGATTACTATGTCCTTTTTAATATTTTCAGAGCCAACTTCATTGAGTTATATTTTTTTGGCCAAAAAGGGCAAAATACATTGAGATACTGGTTGAGTATATTATCGATTGCTTTACAATTTTCTCCCCATTTTTGGTTGGATTAGGTTGGACAGCTTAGAATAACACCCCGAGTTCTTGTTGGTCATAGCTTTGGAGGAAAAGGTATTTTGGTTGTTTTGGTATCTGATCTTCTTCAAAAGCAGACAGTGGAATATGATAGTTGCATTATTTAATTTCAGGTGGTTCAAGTGCTTAACATNCATGCATATGAATAAATCAATGATAGATGAATGAATGCATGAAAATAGGAAACCTAAAAATTTCTCAGCTTAGGATTACTATGTCCTTTTTAATATTTTCAGAGCCAACTTCATTGAGTTATATTTTTTTGGCCAAAAAGGGCAAAATGCATTGAGATACTGGTTGAGTATATTATCAATTGCTTTACAATTTTCTCCCCATTTTTGGTTGGATTAGGTTGGACAGCTTAGAATAACACCCCGAGTTCTTGTTGGTCATAGCTTTGGAGGAAAAGGTATTTTGGTTGTTTTGGTATCTGATCTTCTTCAAAAGCAGACAGTGGAATATGATAGTTGCATTATTTAATTTCAGGTGGTTCAAGTGCTTAACATGCTTCATAATTATCTCTGCAGTTGCATTGAGCATGGTGGAACAAGCTGCTAAACCTCTTGCACGGCCTGTCAGAGTAAGTATTATCTTGCTAGATATTGTTAAGCTGGTATTATACTTTGGCATTGAGTTGAACTTAAATTATGTGATGTTGATTCTGGGTTTTAACAACTTAAACTTCAGATGTTAAGTATTCAATCTTTGATTTATAGGTATAATGAGGTCACTCCAAAACATTGTTGGATCAAAATTATTGTTTTCTAGGTAGCTGTAGTAATAGGAGCCTCAGCAGTTCAAAAAAATTCATATGTATTCTTGTGTATCCTATATATGCAATGAGTGAGTTAGCTGGCCCTCTGCACATTGATAGACTGCCCAGTCTGTTTGCAATATATCATGAGGCAGCCCAGAGGTTCGGAAGTCTGGACACCTTCAGCATTTGTTTCATCATTTAAGAGTTGCTTCCGTTTATTTATGTATATATTGTGTTTCTTAATTTTTTCTTTTACCTCTTTTTCCACTTAATTTATTTTAGTTTTTGTTTTTTGTTTCTGGCAGGTATGGGTTTTGGATGCTACTCCTGGAAAAGTTAGAGCTGGTAGAGATGGAGAAGACCATCCAGCTGAACTTATCTCTTTCCTCAGTAAACTGCCTAAGGAGGCGAGTCCTCTTTCTCTTATTATTGTATCCTTTGATTTATTTTGAGCTGTTTGAGATATGGATTATTTGGATAAATTATTTGCGTTGGAGAATGATTTTATTATTTATGTGACTAGAGCTGGTTGGAATGTATTTCTAACTATTTGCACTTGGCAGATTAGTTGATTAGCATTCTGCATTCTGCATTCTGGTTGGGTGGGTTGGTTTTAGGTGGCCTTGATGGCTTTGCTATGATTATAGTTCATTATGGACTGGGATATTGGGTTAGATTTATGAAGCTATACTTTTTTTTTTTTTTTTGGCTACCATCAACTAACAAGTTAAATTTAACCATTACAAAACTTGGTTAGATGGGGTTAATAATGGTTGTGGGTGGTATTTGGTGTAACCAGTAAGTTGGATCAAGAATCATGATGCAATTAATTTCAGTAATGAACATTGACTTTATCACATTAGTTCATAATTTCATGATTTAGTTTGTCTCACTGGGAAATTTCTTTTTTATTAATTGTGTGTGTTGGATTTCTGTTATTGATGTCTAATACAAGTATAAAAAAATGGATATTAACAAAATGGAGGTTTCTATTGTTAAATTCTGCTATTTCTTTATTGCTCATCATGTCTTGCTGAAAATAATCTCTGGTTTAGTCTTTCAGTTCCTTCTGTAATATGCTTTAGATGATCTCTCTGCCTGTTACCATCATCCTTCTCCCTTTCTTCCTGCTGCGATTATGTAGATATTGCTCATATATTGCATTTTAAACTGATGTAACAATTATGGAATTCAGTATTCATAAATGTATAGCTTATTTATATGAAATTTTGGGAAACTTAATCTATAAAGCACTTCATCTAACTACCCAAGTTTTAATGACTTTAATGGATAATGCAGTGCTGGAGGTTCAAATTTAATTAAAACTTTATCAAGTTAAAAGATACCAAACCTGCCTTATGGTTAATGACTATAATAAATGTTATATCTCTAAGTTTGGCTAATCTCCATGCGACCCTAAATTTAATAATTTTCACCTTCAGTAGATCATAAAACGTGGGCATATAACATCGTATCTCCCCCTCTATTTGTTCTGTTTTTAGCAGAACAGTTGTTTTGTTATTTTTGGCCTTAATTAAAAAATGTTTGAAAGATTTGTTTTTGTGGGTACTTATTTTTCGTTTATTGAGCATGGTTTAAGTATGTTGCATCTTCCATCAATTTAGGTCATTTCAAAGCGGGAGGTTGTGAATGCTCTTCTTGGAGAAGGTTTTTCCAAAGATGTGGCACAGGTATAATTCAGACACTAGTATTCTTTTAATTACTTTTTGTATAACTTCAATTTGAATTTTGATGCTATTAGATTAACTGAATATATATATATTCTTGTCTTCATGATCCTCAGTGAATATAGTTCAGACACTACACATTAAAATTGGATTCATATGCCCCAACACTCAATTCCAAATCTCTAGTTCATGTTCACTCTAATACAAACGTCAACGTTTATAATTTTATGTATGAGTAAAATGCTTTTAATGGTCTATTACGATGTGTTAGAGCTTAAGGTTGACTGGAGTTATGTGTCCGGATTTGTCTTTATAGTGATCGAAGAAGTTGTGTTTCTGTTTGATGCACATGCTTTGTAAGAGGCTAGTTAGAGTTTAAATATTGGTGGCCTTACCAATTCTCTTTCTTTCCCAATGCTACATGACGGCAAGCTGTACTGACTACGAAATTGGCTTGAGGACAAGGTGAGAGGAAAATATCACCAAGCCTTACATTCAAGGACTGGATAGAGGGGCATTGTGGCTTCATCTATCATATTTTTGTAGATTGTAAACTAGTACACAAGAATAGGGATATAGTTGCATCAAATTAAGGGGAAACAAAAGGCAAAGAAATTACTATTTAATCAATTTTATAGCAATGTTCAAGTGCTAATAATATGTCTGACGTGTCAACTTTGTAACATGGTTTGTGTCCAACCTTTTCAAGCCAAGCCATCCAGAGAAAAATGAGGAAACATGAGAACTGACTCTGTTTCTCATACTACCTTGATGTAGTTTACTTATATTGTAGATTGCTAGTTTTATCTTTGAGGTTACTTGTTATAGATGTGAAAGAAAAACTGGAAAAGTTAAATTTACATTTCTACTTTGATTTGTGGACTCTGTATTTCTTGATCTTATCTTCTGTTTAATTCTTGTTTTTGTGTACAGTGGGCGGTAACTAACCTCCGATCTACCAGCCCTCTTGGTTCACCATCATCAAGCTTCTCATGGGTCTTTGACCTTGAGGGAATTGCCGAAATGTACCAATCCTATGAAGAAACAAATTTATGGTATTTTTCCTTATTTCTCGTATTAAACATGGATGATGAGTTGACAGTGTTTTAAAGACAATATTCCTAAAAGGGCTGCTTTTCCTAGACTAAGTCATAGTGTTATACTTTATTTGATGGAGTCTGAAACAGAGTCAGTATGTATAATAGGGTTAGTTGTGGTAGTATATTTCAGTTTTTCTTCCTAAATTCTCACAGAAGTTATCACTTTGCACTCAACATTTATTTGTTTTTCTGTTGATTTGTTTGAGGCAAAAGTTAATATTAACTCTTGTTTTACAGTATTAGTGGCTAAATTTGAAAGTGTAGCCTGAAAATAGCTTTTTAATTATTTTTAAATAATGCAGGAAATTTGTGGAAAATTTGCCTCGAGGTGTGCACGTTAATTTTTTGAAAGCAGAGAGAAGCTTGCACAGGTGGGCAGTTGAAGATCTCCAGAGAATTCATGCTGCTGAGGAGCTGGCTTCTGATGGTGGAGGTGGAGTTGAAATGCATGTCCTTGAAGATGCTGGACACTGGGTATATTTCTGTAACTTGCTTTATTTTCTTCAGCTCTCTGCTGAAGCACATGCTATGCCCTACTTTATTCCAGCAGTTATTAATTGTGTCAACATATTCCTAGTGTAGGATTATCCATATCTTTCTAAGCTAGAATAGGGAATTGTTTAGACTTTGGTTATCATTGCATAGATATTTATGGGAAAAGGAAAACTTAAGCAATTGCTTAACCTATAACGTAAGGGTATAACATTAATTTTTAACAGGTATTTTTACGTATGATGTGGTACCTGTAAGACCAAGACCAAGATGAGGTTTGAGTTGATTGAAGAATATAATTGACATACGAGGGATTCAAATACAATACATATTAGCTTTTATTCTTATTAAGAAAACGCTTAATCGAAAAGGTTAAATTGAGAGGTAAGAATCCAACCCTACAATAGAATTTCGAGTTCTAACATGTCGAACTTATCGTAATTCAATTGATACAATATAGAACTTTAATATAGTATCATTTGGTCTACTGCGCTTTGATACTAAAAGCTATTAGATAATGATTCAACATCAGTATTTAATAAGTCCTCTTATGTGTAACAAGGATTTGGTGAGATTGAGACTGAAATGAGATTTGAACACGATGTTCAACTCCAATATCATGTCAAGGAACCATTTATTATGTTTAATTCCTTTCCGCAAGGCAGTAAAAAGGTCCATTATGGTCTTTTGACATACTGTTATACACCGAAGTTCTGTGTTTGGCAGTTGGACATTAGAGTATTTTGGCACTGGCAGAAGCCCTTCTGCACCAGGGGAGTTTCTTTCTCCATGCTGGTTTTTCTTAGGGGTTACTTTCTGTTTATTTTATTAAAGCATAATTCAAGCTACCAAACACTATTTTATTAGGGTCATTTGTATGTATAATTTTATGCTAGAGTCAACCTAACTTTAGTGGGTTTTCTTTTGAAATGACTCATGGTTTTATTAAATTTTGGCAAGCTTATTTCTGTAGGTGCTACTTCTGTAACCACCTCTGGATGGCAGAATTCAACTGAAAAGTCAGAATTCACAGTTCTTGATTTCTTTTCTTATTGTTAGCGTTTAGGTTTTAAGCCCAAAGGCACATGGTATTGAAGCCACTTTTGTTTTTTCTTAGTTAGAATTTGCAAAATCTGATCCAAATATATATTTGCAACTTTTCGGCCTTAATTCAAGTTTCGGTCCACGTCCTGTTAGCTGCTACAAATCAACTTCTAAAAATCTAACCTTAGACTTTATCAGTTTTGAATAAGCTTGTTCCGAAGGAAATCATTTTTTTCTATACTAGTTAATCTTTCTTGTTTCAGTTCTTTTTAATGCTAGAAACCTATGGAAAACTTTACCACAGAAGAAAATGAATTACCACTTCGATTAAAATGCTTATGTGTTGACAGTAGTGGTTGAATAAGTTGTTGGTTTTCTACCTTCCGAAATTAGAAAGTGTTTGAGCTACATTAAATCGTGTAGAACGAAAACTGAAAACTTGCATGGTTTCCATTGTGCAATGATCACTCGAATTGGTGTTGATACCTATAATTGGAGATGAGTAATACTACATCAACAACCATTTCTCATAAACTTTCTCTCTCAATCCTAACGTGGTAACTCGCAAGTAATTAGCAGGAGACCCATGTGAGACCTGTTGTGAACTGACCAATTGCTAGTTGTCATGTCAGGGTTGTGAGAGAGGGTTGTTGGTGTAATATTTTTCATTGGAGACAGTTTTTTTAGTCTAGCTGCATGTAGTTTGAATTAGGTGTGGCAGATTTTTGTCATTTAGAATAAACATTGACTGAATATGTCAAGTAGCATTGTATTGTAATGCTTTCTTAGTTTCAAACTATGAAAGCTGCCCCTCATTCCTAACGTATGTTTTGACAGGTTCATGCCGATAACCCAGATGGTTTGTTCAGAATTCTGTCATCTTCTTTCCAGGGATTCTGATGTGGAAGTAGTGAATGCATTTTTCCCCTTTAGTTCATATACAGCTGCCTGCAGAATTGTGTAGATCAGTATATAGCTTTATGTTGGTATGATAAATATAAGTGTGTAAATGTTTCATTTTTCCCCCTTGTGTTGCAAATTTTATCTAGGGTGACTTGTTAAATAGAAATTTATTTATTCCTAGTACCTTTCATATATCTATAATTTTGAATATAAAATTGTTCAAATAGATTGTTTTGATTGTATTTGAGGCTTGTATTTATATAGTTAAATCCGAAAATTAATCATTTTTAGCTGTTATAGGCATTATGACATGATATTTTATGCTTATCTCGTTTTGTTTCCTTTCTATCGGTCAATCAGCCGATAAACATAAAATCGATAGTCAGCTACTTTTAGCCTTTAGGTCGACCTATCTTCAGAGACAAGCCAACCGATTCCGAAGATGCATCAAGTTGTGCACTTCGCATCCAGGGTGTGCTATTTTATCAACGGTGACACTACCAGGGGTGAGTAAGCGAAGGTATTTATTCGCCCAATAATATTTACTGGGGTTAAGGTAGTAGGATTACTCATAAACATCCTCTTCATGATTGTATTAGGGCATTTCTAATGGGATACTAAGTTGGTGTAAAACACTAAAATGGAGTCCAAATTTAGCTCTAGCCATACACCAAAAGTCATACTAAGTTGGTGTGGATGAATAGTATTAACACCAAATTTAGTATAACACTAAAATCTATATCAATCTGGTATGATACTATTCATCTACCACAAAATATATTTTATTTTTTTATTTTTGTTATTTATATTTATGTTAATTTGATTATTATTTATATCGATATTTACAATAATAAATTTATAATAATTATATAATTCAAAAAATTAAAAAAAGGATAAAAAATTAAAAACAAAACTTTATTCAATGCAAATATTAAACTTCAGTAATTCAAAATAAATTAACACTAAATTAAAAAAACTAAAATTAAAAGAAAATATAACATAAACAAAAATAACAATTTAATATTCTGATATATTAGTTTCGGATCTTCTAAGATCATTAAAATATTAGAAAGAACTAGAGCATGTTTTTATTTTTAGTTTTTGTGACATTTTATATTGGATGTATTGTCTATTTGATTTAATAAATGCTTAATTTTATTAAATTAGTATAATATTCAAAGTTATTATTAATTAATAAAATACATTATTCTCAATATTTAATTAATAGATACAAAAATAATTAGTGAAATATATAGTTGTTAAGAATTAATAAAAAGAAAAAGAAGAAGAATATTTTAAAGAATATTATTTTTGGTGTAATGGGTTAGAGAATGAAGATGCAATAGTAAAATAGTATAAAAATTACACTAATTTGATGTTTATGGTTGAGGATGGTCTTAAAAATATAACGTTCTATTACTAGTATAAAGATAAAATAACCTTATAGGTTATCTTAATGTGTGCTCTACGGGTTTGTTATACTAAAAGATAAAATTTTTTATATCAGTATATTCGAAATTGCGTTTTTTGGGTCTTGTGTATAATAGGCATCAAAACAAGTAAATTTTTTATTTTCTTGGTAATGTCATTAACATATGCACTTAGAGCATGTGTTAACCCATATGGTTATTGGAACGCAAATTTATGTAATTTTATAAGTGAGCTAAAATATAAATTTATGTTCAATCTTATGAATATAATGTTTAATTCTTGCCTATTATATATACCATTATAATGTTATTTTCATGCAAATAGTGGAATGAGAATTTGATTCTCTAAAACTTAGTGGACCGACATTTATTTCTTTATGGTACAACTTTTGAATAAATTTTAGCTGTCAAGACGCGTGGCTGTGGTTGGTTGGTATATGAAAGAAAGAAAATTTATCATGTGAATTATTCACTTCAAATCATTAAAAAAAGAAAAGAAAAGAAAAGAAAAAACCCACCTTCTAATTCCCAATTGAAGAGAGAGGTAAATCTGAGGAGATTATTTAGCTATCGGTGCCTGCATGCAACACACTCAAAGCTGTAAGTTTTGGCTCATACTTTAGTTTCTAGTTTTTGATCAAGCATTTGCATGACTTCAATGTTTGTCTTGAAAAAAAAAATTGTGGAAGAGGGTAGATCTTGAATATTTGTTTGGATATTTTAATGCTAATATATGTAAAAAATTATTCAAAAAGCTCTCTTTTATTGATTTTTTTTTTTTTTTTTCATATAGATATATAATATATATATTAGCTATTTGAGGAGTGAAGTAGTGAGAGAATACCCACTAGCTAAAAATGAAGTTGATAAAAGATCTATGGGAAGTAAGAAGAAGCATTTTAATATGTTATTTTATTTGCTTGATAGAAATATAAGATCAAAAGATAATTCAACTTAGTTTGGTTAGATTTTTTGTTGCAGGGCAAGATATAGATTAATCCTCTCGTATCATTATGATGGGAATCGAAATTAATTTTTGTTTGTGTTTCAGAAAGGGTGATGTCGACTTAATGTACGATTAAGAAATTAAAAAATTCAAATAAAAAAAAAAATGATATTCTATTGAACATTCAACAAATTAAAGGCCAGATAAAACCTAAGATTTGTTGACTATACTGAGTAGATAACTAATTATTTTCAGTTTATATGGTTTAAGAAACTGTGAGGGGATGACAATTTAAATGTAAGTTTGAAAGAATAAAAAATAATATTTTAAAATAAAAGATGGTAAGAAATGTATAATTTGAAGGTCTTGAGTAATAGGGCATATTTAAAATGAAGTTCTAAGAGTTTGAAAAATATTTTTCTATATTAAAATATGTGGCTTTCAGTAACACTCAAACTAGACATAATGCTAAAATTAGTTTTATTCTTTTTTCTTTGGCCTATAAATTTGTAAACGTTATATTTTCCTATAAATAAATATTTTCTTTAGCATTACTTTTTATGATATGTTTCCATCATAAATTTTACAATAGTATGGTTTTTTTTTTTTTTTTAATTAAACCACATTCAATATTATTCCACGCAAAATAACTAGAGTAAAAAACTAAAAAATTTATAAATTAATTATTTACAAAACAAAAGACAAATAATAGAAAATCATTTTTTTATATATATGTTCTGTATAAGATGAGGGGTGAAACTATCCTCCTACATTAATCTCAAAGCAACTTATCCTCTCTATGTTTTACTCTTATATACGTCAAAAATACTGTTTTTATATGTTCTGTGATTTGTATAAACAAATAAAACTTATATTATGACATTATAAGAGGAAAATAAAATATTCAATTAGATATTCATGATGTTAGATTGAAAAAAATATATATAATCGTAAGTGCAACCTAACATTGATATGCTATTTTTCTTCTAGGTATATTTTCACTTTATGAGACTATGACTTAGTTTTTTTTTTTTTTTTGTCAATTCAATGATAGGGCGGGCTAAATACATAGTAGGATAATCTATCCTTACAAAGAATTTTACAAAGTAGCTACAGTGAAGGAAAAAACAAAAAAAACGGAAAAAGAGAAGAGAGAGAGAGAGAAATGATGAAGATGAAGGGTGGAGATAACTTTGATACCCCTTTGTAAGCTTCTTTGTAAGAATAGCAACTCCCTACATAGTACTACTCTCTTTCCCTCTCTCAACTTTCTTTAGTCAACAAGTCCTAAACTCTTTTATTGAGCAGACAAATTTGGAAGAATTCTATTGTAATTTGTAAACATGGATGGAAAATACGATAAAACCTAAATTGACAAATAAATTGACTGCATCGATAATCTCATAAATTATCATACCATGCATATATTTTTTTTTGTTTAAATTAACATATTTATGTCTAACAAATTTTAATTACCTCTATCTTAACAGAATTTCTAGTGAATATTGTTTTGATGGCCATACAAAGATCCTTTTCAAATATCCCTTTTTCATGCCTCATTGGAAATATGATGCTTTCCTAAGTTTTAGAGGTGAGACACTCGAAAGAACTTACAAGACCATTTACATGTGCTTGCATCGAAAAGGAATTAATGTATTTAGGGATGACAAAGAACTTAAGAGAGGAAAAACAATTTCACCTGAACTCTCTAAAGCGATTGAGGAATCGAGAATTTTGATTGTCGTTTATCAAGAAACTATGCTTCTTAACTTGGTGTTTGGATGAGCTTGTTAAGAGTTCAATGCATGAATACAATGGAACAAATTATTATCCCAATTTTCTATGATGTGGATCCATCTATGGTGAGGAAACAAACAGGAAGTTTTCAAGAAGCTTTTGTTATATTGAGAAGCTTTAGAGAAAATATTGAAAAGGTGAAAAAATGGAGGGCTGCTTTGATAGAGGTGGCTAATCTCTGTGGATGGCATTTAAATGATAGGTACGTAATAAATATAATTTATTATTTACTTTTACCTTAATACATCAAATTGTATGAATAATTTTTTTTTTTTAGAAATCATGGTAGTATATCTATTATCCTAATAGATCGAACATACTTTTACTCTATACAATATGACTTGATGATGTAGGACATGTATATATTATTTCTAATAGGATTCAATCTTATAATTACTTTTTTTTTTTTTTTTTTTCATTTTTTCTTTAAATTTATTTCAATTTAGAAAAAAGTTCTTTAATTTATTTCTTTGTGTATCTTTTATTTTGGATTTATCTCCTCCTGTATATTAGATATAGCCTAACGCTTCTTGTTATGGCGACTGGACTCGACAAACATCTGGTCCACAATTAACTGCTTTGCTTCTAAATTAATTTGTATAACCAACCAAAAAAAAAAAAAAAAAAAAAAAAAAAAAAAATTATGAAAATACCAATCTATTAATTTATTGAAAGAAAATTTCCTAAAGAATTATAAATAATGAAGAAACCATTAAATTTCTAGTGAATATTGCATAGACATGGTGTTTTATTCCAGCGTTATATATATATATATTCATAAGATGTATAGCATCTAGACAAGTAAACCATTCGTTTAATGATAGATGATGAATCGATATTTCACAATCATTTAAATATAAATAATGGCTGTTGAAGCCTTTTAACAAATAACAATTAAGTTGGCCTAGGTCCTACTATGTTGTATAAAAAGGGTTGAATGTTCGGTTGTACGCTATACATTGATTTATGTCTTGATGGCTGTTACTGAATTACTTGAACTTTTTTTTCTTTTTTTTTGGGTTATCTTTCATTTCGCAGGCACGAGTCAGAATTTATTCAGGATATTGTCAAGGACATATCAAGTAAACTAAGTCCTACAAAGTTTTGGACCATTGAGGACCTAGTAGGTATTAATTCACGTCTGGAAAAATTGCGGGTGCTTATCGGTGCAAGGTCAGATGATGTTCGCATGTTAGGAATCTGTGGAATGGGAGGTATAGGCAAAACAACCATTGCAAGAGTTGTTTATGATTTTATTTCTTGTGAATTCGAAGGTAGCTGCTTTCTTGAAAATGTAAGAGAAAATTCAGAAAAAAAAGGCCTCATCGCTTTACAAATACAACTTCTTTCCCAAGTTCTAATGGAAACAGATATTAATATCTCTAATATCTATGATGGGATCAACATGATAAGAAGTAGGCTACGACATAAAAGGATTCTTGTTGTTATTGATGATGTGGTTTATGTAAACCAATTAGATAATTTAGTGGGAAAACATGATTGGTTTGGTTCAGGGAGTAGAATCCTAATAACGACAAGAGATGAGCATTTGCTAAGAACACATAGAGTGGACAAAGTGTACAAAGCTGAGGTACTAGATGATGATGAAGCTCTTCAACTTTTTAGTTTGAAAGCATTTGATGATCAACCATCAAAAGAATATGTAGAGCTTTCTAAATGTGTTGTAAAGTATGCTGGTGGTCTTCCATTAGCTCTCAAGGTTCTGGGTTCCTTTTTGTTTGGCAGAAGTGTAGAGGAATGGACAAGTGCACTTAACAGGCTAGACAGAGATTCTGAAGAAGAAATTCTAAATGTACTTCAAATAAGTTTTAATGGATTAAAAGAGAAGGAGAAGAAAATATTTCTTGATATTGCATGTTTCTTTAAAGGGGATGATAGAGATTATGTGAAAAGAATTTTGGACGGTTGTGATTTTAATGCAACTATTGGAATAAGTGTTCTTGTTAATAAATATCTCATAACTATTTTGGATGATAAAAAGTTGTGGATGCATGATTTGTTACAAGAAATGGGACATCAGATTGTCAAGAAACAGTCTCTTGAAGAGCCTGGAAAATGCAGTAGATTGTGGAAAGAAGCAGATGTTCATCATGTGCTAACAAAAAATACGGTATACGCGATGTGCATTTTTTAGTCTATTTCTTTTAACTAATCAATTCTTGTTCTATTAGAGTTTCGCTCTCTATTTTTCACTTATCCTTTGCTCTTATTTCTCTAGGGGACTGAAGTTGTTGAAGGCATAATACTTGAGGAAGAGCTGCCTGTGAAGGCAAATGCTAAAGCCTTTTCGAAGATGATTAATCTAAGATTGCTTAAAATCCGCAATGTCCAACTTTCCGAATCTCTTGAATACCTTTCTAATGAGTTGCGTTTATTAAAATGGTATGGATATCCTTTAAAATCGTTACCATCAAGTTTGCAACTGGATAAAACTGTTGAACTCGAAATGTGTTGTAGTCGCATTGAACAACTGTGGAAGGAATCCAAAGTAAGATGATGTTGCTCAATCAAATATTTATGTTCTACAAATTTTACTTCTCAGTAAATTATTATTGATAAGCTTAAAAATTCGTCCCATAAGTAATATGGTAAATTGATAATAATATTGTCAATGATTCTAACTTTACTTTTTTGTTTGTTTGTTTCTTGCACAGCATTTAAACAAGCTGAAAATTGTCATTCTGAGTGACTCCCTGAACCTGAAAAAGACACCAGATTTCACATGGGTACCAAATCTTGAAGAGCTGATTCTTGAAGGATGTTCAAGGTTGTGTGAGATTCACCCATCTTTGCTAGTTCACAAAAATCTTATTTTATTGAATCTCAAAGATTGTACAAGTCTTAGGACTCTTCCAAAAAGTATTCATATGGAATCTCTCCAAGAACTTGTTCTTTCAGGTTGCTCGAAACTGAAAGAGTTTCCGGAGATTGTGGGAAGTATGAGGTGTTTGTCGCAACTCCTTTTAAATGGAACCGCTGTAAAAGAATTGCCATTATCAATTGAACTTCTTACAGGACTTGTTTTGTTGAATTTGAAGGATTGCAAAAATCTGGTGAGTCTTCCAATTAATATGAGTGGTTTGAAAACTCTCAAAACTCTGAATCTCTCAGGATGCTCCAAACTTGAAAATGTGCCAGAGAATTTGGGACAAGTAGAAAGTTTGGAAAAGCTTGATTTAAGCGAAACTGCTTTAAGACAACCGGTGTCATCCATTTTTGTCATGAAGAATCTTAAAGAATTATCTTTTCGTGGATGCAAAGGACCACCATCAAACTCATGGTGTTCTAACTTTCCCTTCAGTTTGATGTCAAGAAGAATCTCAGATCCAATGGTCTTAATGTTGCCATCTTTGTCAGGTTCGTGTTCTTTAACAAAATTGGATCTCAGTGACTGCAATCTTCAGGAAGGAGCTATTCCAAGTGATTTTTTCGGCAGTTTATCTTCATTATGGTCGCTAAATTTAAGCAGGAACAATTTTGTTTCACCACCTGGAAGAATTGATGGTCTTTCTGAGCTCCGAGTACTTATCTTGGAGGGTTGCAAGAGGCTTAAATCTTTGCCAGAACTTCCTTCTAATATCGGTTTAGTTAGAATAGATAATTGTGATTCATTAGAAATGGTTTCTAATTCATCAATAATATGCAATTCGGCGAGGCCAGACGTGGTTTCTTGTATAAACTGCTTAAAATTGTTCAGCTGCAATGATATAGCTATTTCAATGCTGAAAGGATACATGAAGGTTGGCCTTTCTCTCTGTCTTATGTTAAACATTATTCAACAGTATAATTCTTAGTTTTCTTTTCGGTTTCAGGAACTATTGAAACGAAGAACTGGATTTAATTTTGTTTTTCCTGGAAATGAGATCCCAGGGTGGTTCAGTCATCAAAGTCAAGGGGATTCAATAAGAATAGAAAGGCTTTCACAATTGTCTACTAATAGTAAAGTGGTTGGATATGTTGTGTGTTCTCATTTTGTTGTTCATGAGCATCCACCTGTCCTCTACAAATATGATGATTATGGCACCCATAGTCTTCACTGCCATGTCTCAGCTGATCGAAAATTTCCTGCTATGACTCACCACATCATCTTCGATGAGAAATTTGGGCAGGCTTTGTCAGATCATCTTTGGTTTTTTTATTTGCATCCTAGCAATTACTATGAACATTTGAAGAATGACTTTAATTACATTGAATTTTTCTTTGCATCCCAGCAAGGACCAGGAGTGGAGCTAAAAAGATGTGGGGTTCGTCCAGTATATGAGGAAGATGTGGAAGAATTTGACCAAATAATGAATCAACATTGCAGTAGTTCTACCTTCTGCAATTTGGATGAATTCCATCAAGATTTCGTTGGTTCAAAGATGGATGTTGCGATGACTAAGCGAAGCCTAATTGAGTATGATAAGGCTGAGTCTAGTGGAAGTGGCTGCAGTGAGGATGAGGAATCAGAACCTAAAAGATGTAGAAGGCTTTAATTCCTCTATTTGCATCTCAGTTTCTATCATTTTAATTATTCTCTCAGTTTTTGTCTTAACTTATTTGTTGTAGTTAAGAGTTTGTGTTATCTTTTAGCATGTTTGATTGATTGATTGAGGACATTTTTTAGGCATGTTGTTGAAACAGTGACATTTTGCTGGAAATGTAACTGAAATTCAGTTTATCTTGAAAAACCTTTTGGCGCCAAAAGAGCTCTCTATTTTGCCTTGCATTCTACCGTGTAAGAGCTGCTGAAGTTGATATGTTTTGGTGATAAGTTTAGGTGCTCTCAGCTGTGATTAAGGGTGTATTAGTTATAAACTTTGTTTTTAAATTTCAAACTCTAAATATCCTAAACAGTTAGTGTAACAGTGAGCACTTTGCTGTATAAAAGTGTAATGTTTATGCAATGAAAATCAACCTTTTCCTCTCAACTCATTTTTCTCACTTTCTTTTCTTAGCATTCTCCAACTTAAGACACCAAAACTGTTATCAAGCCTTACTAAAAACCTAGAATCTCTCCCTCCCACTTTTCAATCCTTCATCTCAGTCAAGAACTTCTTGTTTTAGACTTCATATTTCTCCTTCTTTAGACATCTAAATTGAACATGGCTGCTCAATCACCTTGATGTCACCTCCAGTTTTCAATGGAGAACACTATCACATGTGGGCTGTAAAAATGAAAGCTTTTCTCTGGGGCCAAGGCTTGTGGCTGTATGTGGAGGAGAATTGTCAACCACCTCAGTTGGGACTGAGAAGAAACTGAAAGAAATCGAAAATGAAGAGAAAGGAATTCATATTATTGAATCTTTAGCAAAAGTAATGAGATTACAATGTTAGGGATTTATATACAAGCTTCAAAAGAGAGAAATTAAAAGCCGTAAAAGAGTAAAGTGAGAAGCTAATGAAATGAAGAACAACAGCTCTTAACAATTCCAAAACGACACCGTTGCTTGTTAGTGACATATGAGAAATTACAATCAGCTCCTCTAACTTTGATCATTTGCACTTTTCAGCCTTTCACCAACATTCCCCCTCAAACTTAACTACACTAGCTTGAACTCTGTGATCAATCACCAACATTCCCTGTAGCAACAATTATCCTTTAGGAAACTTTGCCTGAATTGATGCTCTCCCTGTAAAAATTAAAACTGCACTCTGCATATGACTAGTGCACTACACAACTCTCACAAGGTCTGACTGGTGCACTACACAACTCTCACAAGGCTACTGCACTTTGCATCTGACTAGTGCACTACACTACTCTTCACGGTTGCCTTGTAAATCACTGCTCAGAAACAATTCAGAGAACCAAAAACCTACTATCTGCAGAACACTTCTTCAAAACGTAAAGCTGCCTGCATAACGTCATAACTTCTTCCAAACTGCATCTGCCTTGTAATCCTGCTCAGAAACAATTCAGAGAACCAAAAAAAACTTCTTCAAAAAAACTTAAAGTTGCATAACACCTAACTCTTCACAAGTCTGCATAACACCATAACGCAGCCAACTGCATAATTGCCAAACACTCAAACTCCCAAATCTGCATAATACCATAACTCAACTAATTGCATAATTGCCATCATCTATTACAAGCTGATATAAACAGCATCACTTAAGTTTTCTCAACACTGCACATACTACAATATTTAACCAAATGGAAACTGTTTTCTCAACACTGCACATACTTCAATATTAACCAAATTGACACTGCTGCAGAATCTGTTTCAACAGACAAACAACCACAAACTGCAAATTGCATATCCTGTTTTTCCAACCTTCCTGTATCACTCCAGAAAAAAAAACTGCTGCAGAATCTGTTTCAACAGACAAACAACCACAAACTGCAAATTGCATATCCTGTTTTCTCAACTCTTCCTGTATCACTCCAGTAAAAAAACTGCGTCTGAAACTCACCACAACTATCATAGTAAACCAACTGCTTCAGTTCAGTACCAAAACATAACTTCAGAACAGATCAACAGTTCTAAAAAAAAAACTTCAGTAAAGATCAGCAAATTGCATATCCTGTTTTCTCAACTCTCCTGTATCACTCCAGTAAAAAAAAACTGCAGTAACCAGCTAAGTCTGAAACTCACTACAACTATCATCAGTAGAACCAGCTGCCTCAGTTCAGTACCAAAACATAAAACAAAAACTTCAGTAAAGATCAGCAGTTCTCAAGAAACCTTTGCTTCAGTAACAGTGAGTTTCTGTTTAAGTTCTTGAAATTGAGAATAGAGAGAGCCTTAGTTAGAATGTCCGCAATTTGTAACTTGACGGGACATACTGTACATGTAGCTTTTTGGCTAACACTTGATCCCGTATGTAATGAGTATCATCTCAATGTGCTTAGTACGCGCATGAAAAACTGGATTAGCAGCTAGGGCACCAGCACTAATATTATCACACCAAATGATGGAAAGAGTTCAACTGCATACCCAATTCAGAAAACAAACTATCCAGCCAAGCTAACTCAGTGGCTGTTTGAGCCAACGCTCTATATTCAGCCTCTGTAGACAAAGAGCAACCACCTTTTTTTTCTAGAACTCCATTGGATCAAGTTGGGGCCTAGATAGATGCAATAGCCACTTGTAGATCTCATATCTCTAGATTACTCCCCCAATCTGCATCAGCATAGCTTTCAATACACAGAGAAGCTGCTGGTTTGAAGAGAAGACCATGAAATTGCGTCCCTTTGATGTATCTTAACACTCGCTTACAAGCTTGCCACTGAACCTCAGTTGGAGCCTGAAGAAACTGACTCAATTGTTCACAGTGAAGCTAATATCTGGCCTGGTCAATGTCAAGTATTGAAAGCCCCAATGGTGCTTCTATATAGACTAGGGTTCTGAAATAACTCACTGTCACAGTGAAGAGTTTAACACCAGCAGTCATTGAGTAGGACAGAATGTGCATCCTGCATCTGTTTTGGCAAGTAAATCTGAGACATACTTTGTCTGCTTTAAATGTATGCCTTCATCAGTTTGAGTGCTTCTAAACCAAGGAAATGGTGACAGAACCCAAAGTTTTTAAAGCAAACTGGTTGTTCAGGTCTTTAACCAGCTGAAGTATAGCAGATTTATTGGAACCATTGAGTAGTATATCATCTACGTAGATGATTACATACAATACTTGTCCAAATCTTTGAGAATAACAAACTTGAATCTGAAACTGAACTGTAGAATCCTTTATCAAGCAACGCTTGTTTGAGTTTATCAAACCAAGCACGTGGTGCTTGCTTGAGTCCATAAAGTGCCTTATTGATTTTACACACATAGAAGGATATTCAACACTTTCAAACCCTTCAGGCTGCCTCATATAAACTATTTCACTTAAGTACCATTCAAGAAGGCATTGTTGACATCTATTTGCTGTATATCCCAGCCATAAGTGACAGCAAGAGTAAAACAATTCTGATTGTACAGGGCTTATAACAGGGCTAAATGTCTCAAAATAATCTAACCCCGGGGTCTGTTGAAAACCCTTTGCAACTAATCTACCTTATACTTTTGAAGAGTTCCATCAGCATGAAACTTGTTCTAAAGACCCATTTGTTGCCCACTACATTCATATCAGCTTCTTTTGGAACAAGAGTCCAATTACCATTCTTATGAGAGCATTAAACTCATCTTGCATTGCATTCTTCCATTCAGCAATATTAATGCTTCAGAAACTGAATTGGGTCAGTTAGACAGGTTTGGATACAGTTAAGGCAGTGATAGTGGTGATGGAGCAGCAGCTTTAGATCTGGTTGTCATTGGGTGAATATTTGTGGCTGGTGGTGGGGTAATGAAGCTGAATATTTGTGTTAGTGACTGAAGTGGTAGGCAAACAAAGGTTGGATGATGTGCAGGCTGTGAAGATGTTAAATCAACAGCAAGTGAGCAGTAGGCAGGATCTTTCATGGGATGAGATGATAATGCAGATGGCTGGAGTGAAGGTTTTGTTGATGCAGCTGGAAGATAACTAGTAAGATCAATTTCCAGAAACATGGTGATTGGATTGAACTAATATTTGGGATTGGTTGTAAAGAGAAAAAGATGTTTGACTTGTACTAGTGGGAAGGACTGTTTTTGTGAGATGGTTTGTGTTTTGTGAGCTGGTTTGGGATACAGTGGGTAATTTGTCAGAAAAATCAAGTTGTTATGACATTATTTGCTGGATTTGAATGGGAAGCAAGATTATACAGATTATTATTGATAGAATAAGGCTGATGCTGCACTGTAAATTACCACCTGCAGAACCAACGTTGCTCGAAGGGAGTTCTTTGCTAGTAGGATTAGTTGCTGAGGACACAACACTATAAGGAAACTAGACACTAAATGAGCAGAATCTGTAGATTGACTTGCAGAATCAGGAGAAAAACACAACTCTTTAGAAAGAGGGAATTCTAACTCATTAAACAACATTAGGAGAATAAATATTTTTCCTTCAGAATTGTAACATTTATAGCCTTTGTGATTAGACTATACCCTAAAATACACATTTGGAAGTGAAAACTGAACTTATGTTTGTTGTAATCCCTCAAGTAAGGAAAACAGGTGCAGCCAAAGACTTTAAGAGAAGAATAAACAGGTGTTCTATAAATAGGACTTGGTAAGGTGAGCTAAAGTTCAGGACAATAAGGCATTCTGTTTATAAGAAAAACAGCTGTGTCAAATGCAAGCCACCAAAAATGCAAGGGCACGGATGCATGAGCTAATAGTGTAAGACCTGTCTCAACATGTGTCTGTGTTTTCTTTCACTTCCCCATTTTGTTGATGAACATATGCACATGAGTGCCTAAATTGTATTCCTACGGTTGTAAGATAAGGAATCAGCCCCTTATATTCTCCCCTTGGTCAGATTGCAAAGTTAGAAGTTTACAACTGAATTGTCGTTCAACAAGATGGTGAAACTTGATGAACACAGACGAACATCTCCCTTGGTTCGTAAGGGAAACATCCAAGTATACCTGCTATAGTCATCTATAAGTGAATGTAGTATCTATATCCTTCTAGAGAAACAGTTGGAGCTGGTCCCCAAATGTCCACTATGGACAAGTTCTAATGGTTTGGTTGCTCTAGACTGTGACATGGAAAGTGGTTCTTGTGAAGTTTGCCTAGTTTACAAGCATCACAGAAAGGTAAAGATGCTATGGAACTGTTTCAGTGGTGTCTTTGTGCAGATAGGTCAGAATTTTCTGAAGTGCATCAGTACTAGATGGCCCCTAATTGTGCCAAGAGACATCTTGTTTTCTTTGGTATTGCCAACCTGAAGTGCAAATGATGGATCTCGTCCATGATATTATAGTTTGTAT